TCCCTCTCTTCCAGGTAATATTCCGCAGATTCCGACAACCTCTCCCCCCCTCATTCCGCTCCTTTCTCGCTCTGCTGCACCGCTCATTCCCTTTCGCCGGGCAAAACCTTGTGCTTGTTGTGCAGAGCTATTTAAACATCTGGAGGAGAAAGAGAGGGAGGCTGGGATCACGCCTGATGACGTCATGGAGACCGTGATGAAGGTAGAGATGACATCATGGGGGTGATCATCTGTGGATTAGACTGCTTGTAAGGCTTCGTATTCACATTCTCTAAAATTGCCCACACGGCATCAACACTGCAGCTTTTCTGGGTCTTTTCCCCAAGGCGTTTCAGAGGTGACTTTTGAGGTGACTCAAAAGTCAAATCGATCACACGGCATCAACACTGCAGCTTTTCTGGATCTTTCCTCCAAGTCGTTTCAGAGACAGAGCCTGTATTCCGAAAACACCTTTTGAGGCGCCTCAGAAGCCGTTTCAGCAGCAGAGCCTGGACTCTGAAAACACCCATCTTTGATGACAAAGCACCTCTGTGCTCCCCACAAGGATGTTGTGAGGGGTGGGGTCGATGTTGGAAGGAATTACAACTATAGGGGTCATTGCATGCATGTATGTGGACCTTTCAAGTCTGAAGGTCCCGAGACTTCATTTGTGTTCACTAACCCTTCACTAACCCAATCGAAAGCCTCTACTAACTCCCACACGTCTCTTCACCCCCCAGAATTCTCTGTGAGCGATTTTTGAGAATTCTCAAAATTCTCTTCACCCCCCAGACTAGTTTTGAGGCGCCTTAAAACTAAAATTCTCTTCACCTCCCAGACTTCTCTCCCCTCACTCACATGCCTCTCCCCACCTGCACACGTCTTTCCCCCCTCCCCCCCTCGCAACCTTCTGCATGCGCCATCATGAATACTGCGTGCAGGCGATGGCCAATGAGAGGCAGTGCTCCGATGTTGTGGTGCAGTACGTCCTTAAGGTGTGTGGGTGTGTGGGTGGGTGTGTGTGTGTGGGGGGGGGGGGGTGTGGGTGTATGTGTAGGTGTGTGTGTGTGTGTAGGTGTGTGTGCATGTGGGTGTGTGTGTGTGTGAGTGTATGTGTGGGTGTGGGTGTGTGGGTGTGGGTGTGTGGGTGTGTGTGCGCGCGTGCACGGGTGTGTGTGTATGTGTGTATACCAATGTCAGCCAACTTTTGCCACTATTCCCTGTTCTGCTTTGCTTACTAATTTCTCCTCTAGTGCACCTCACTACTCCCGACTTCTGAGTCGACTCAAAAGTCACCTCGTGTGTGTGTGTATGTGTGTATACCAATGTCAGCCAACTTTTGCCACTATTCCCTGTTCTGCTTTGCTTACAGGTTTCTCCTCTAGTGCACCTCACTACTCCCTCATCCCCCGTCCCCAACCCGTTTTTGAGAATTCTCAAAAACAACCTACAGCTCGTTTGTCCTCTTGTGCACCTAACTACTTCCTCGTTTCCCCACCTCCCCCCCCCCCAAAACCTCAACACATGATCACCCAATCACCACTGAGGTACGTATCCCCTCTCTTTCGTGCTCCCCACCCGACTTCCACCCAGATGTTGGGCCTGGACGTGTGTGCTGATACCATTGTAGGCAACAGCATGCGCCGAGGAGTATCCGGAGGGCAGAAGAAGCGGGTTACCACAGCCGAAGCACTCCTGGGCGCGAAGCAAGTCCTCCTATTGGATGAGATCTCCACCGGCCTCGATTCCGCCACCACTTACCAGATCACGCGGTGCCTGCGCAACCTCACGCACTTAACTAGTACCACCACCCTCATCTCCCTACTGCAACCGGCTCCGGAAACCTTTGAGCTGTTTGATGACATCATGATGATGTCAGAAAGCCGGATTGTGTACCATGGGCCCAGGGAGGAGGTGTTGGGATTCTTCCGGGAAATGGGGTTTGCGCCGCCCGCCCGCAAAGGAACTGCAGACTTTCTGCAAGAGGTGAGTTTCCCTTGCTGCCCCTCAGCTGATTCGACTGGGAAGTTAGGAAGTCAGGCCACGTTGTGGCTACACACTTACATCTACATATCAGTTTCCAGTCAGAGAGGGGTGTCGTTGACACATGCACTGCCCTTTATGCAGCTCCTGCTTCTTTTTTTTTTTTTTTTTTTTTTAGTTAATATTTATCTCCGCCTTTTCTTAGTTTCCCTCCGCCTGCCTTTCCGGTGTCATCACATCACCCCTACAGGTCACCTCACTAAAAGACCAGGAGCAGTACTGGCTACCCAACCAACCCCACCCATACCGCTACGTGTCTGTCCGAGCCTTTGAGGAGGGCTTCCGAGCCTCCAGGTTTGGCAAGCAGATGGAAGCAGAGCTCTCCATTCCATTCAAGAAGGATCGAGCCACAAGTGGCAGAGAGGGGGAAGGGACAGACATGGAAAACGGGAGAGAGGAGGGGAAGGGAGACAGGGAGGATGTGTGTTCGTCTCTTGCTCTGGCAGAGCGGCGGTTTGTGCTTCCTCCGCTTACGATGCTCACCATCCTTGCTGACCGAGAATGGCTGCTCATGAGGCGCAACCTCTTCCTCTACATCGTGCAGACCTTGCAGGTACAGTTAGTGCTTGTTAGAGATGCTGGTTAGACTGATACAGTGGCCAGTTGGAGATGCTGGTTACAGTGATACAGTGGCCAGTTGGAGATGCTGGTTACAGTGATACAGTGGCCAGTTGGAGATGCTGGTTACAGTGATACAGTGGCCAGTTGGAGATGCTGGTTACAGTGATACAGTGGCCAGTTGGAGATGCTGGTTACAGTGATACAGTGGCCAGTTGGAGATGCTGGTTACAGTGATACAGTGGCCAGTTGGAGATGCTGGTTACAGTGATACAGTGGCCAGTTGGAGATGCTGGTTACAGTGATACAGTGGCCAGTTGGAGATGCTGGTTACAGTGATACAGTGGCCAGTTGGAGATGCTCGTGAGGGGCAACCTCTTCCTCTACATCGTGCAGACCTTGCAGGTACAGCAAATTCTCATTACAGTCACAGTTATCGGTAAAATGCTTTCCTTTACAGACGTTGAACGTACACCCAATGCTCAGTACAGTGGTAAAATTGAAAGCACACTGGACACTGCCGATACATGTGTATTATACTATGGGAAACTTCCTCCCAACATTATACTGGACACGGCGGATACAGGTGTACTATGGAACACATCCCAACATTATAGATGCACATGAGTGGAGTTAGTGCTTGAAACGCTGGCATTCTCTAGCCAGTCCCTTCGTACTCACCCTTCCTCCCCCCCTTCCCTCCGAACTCCCCCCAACCCCCCCGGACCACCCCCCTCTTCCCCCCATCCTCCTCCCCCCACTCCTCCTCCCCCCCCTTCTACTATACTGCACTTGCACTGCACCCTCACCCCTCGCAACGAATGCATTTTCTTTTTCTCGTTCTTTTGTTTTTTTCAATCTTCAACCTTTGTTTCTTCTTCTTCCAGTAGAAGAAGCTCAAACTTTCTGCATCGCTGCTCCCTGCCCACACACGTCCTTCACCCTCTTTTGAGTCGACTCAAAACTAATCTCTGCTCCCTGCCCACACACGTCCTTCACCCTTCTTTTGAGTCGACTCAAAACTAATCTCTGCTCCCTGCCCACACACGTCCTTCCCCCTTCGTAACCACCCCTTCCTTCGCTCCCTCCTCCCCTCTCCCCTCGCCCTTCCACCCTATCTGCCAGACTCTCCCCATCGCTATAATCGCAATGACCGTCTTCTGGCGCTCCCAGTTCTCCGTCACCTTTCTCGACGGAAACTACTATCTGGGAGCAATCTTCTTCGGTATAGTCACAATGCTGTTCAGCGGCTTCATAGAGCGTGCGCTGATGACGGCTCGCCTGCCTATCTACTTCCTCCAAAGGGACAACCTGCTGTTCCCCGCGTGGGCCTGGTTAATCCCCATGGCGCTACTCTCTCTACCCGTCTCCCTCTGGTCCGCTGGAGTCTGGACTGCCATCACTTACTATGCCATTGGCTTCGCCCCGGAATTCTCCCGGTGAGTTGAGGTTCAGATTTTCAGAATTCTCCCGATTTATTGCTGGACTCGGCCGGTGCTGCACGTTTCTCCTCCCATCCGGGTGTGGTGTGGTGAGGTGTGGTGTGGTGTGGTGAGGTGAGGTGTGGTGTGGTGTATTTTCCATGGTAATTCTGATGGTTTCTACCTTCCTCTGGTCCCCTTGGTGTGTGGATGGCCATGATCAATCCTCTAGAGTGTGGACGGCCATTATCAGTCCTCTAGAGTGTGGACGGCCATTATCAGTCCTCTAGAGTGTGGACGGCCATGATCAGTCCTCTAGAGTGTGGACGGCCATGATTAATCCTCTGGAGTGTGGACGACCATGATTAATCCTCTGGAGTGTGGACAGCCATGACTAATCCTCTGGAGTGTGGACGGACATGATTAATCCTCTGGAGTGTGGACGGCCATGATTAATCCTCTGGAGTGTGGACGGCCATGATCAGTCCTCTAGAGTGTGGACGGCCATGGTCAGTCTTCTGGAATGTGGGCGGCTATGATCAGTCCTCTGGAGTGTGGACGGCCATGATTAATCCTCTGGAGTGTGGACGGCCATGATTAATCCTCTGGAGTGTGGACGGCCATGATTAATCCTCTGGAGTGTGGACGGCCATGATTAATCCTCTGGAGTGTGGACGGCCATGATTAATCCTCTGGAGTGTGGACGGACATGATTAATCCTCTGGAGTGTGGACGGACATGATTAATCCTCTGGAGTGTGGACGGCCATGATTAATCCTCTGGAGTGTGGACGGCCATGATCAGTCCTCTAGAGTGTGGACGGCCATGGTCAGTCTTCTGGAATGTGGGCGGCTATGATCAGTCCTCTGGAGTGTGGACGGCCATGATTAATCCTCTGGAGTGTGGACGGCCATGATTAATCCTCTGGAGTGTGGACGGCCATGATTAATCCTCTGGAGTGTGGACGGCCATGATTAATCCTCTGGAGTGTGGACGGCCATGATCAGTCCTCTAGAGTGTGGACGGCCATGGTCAGTCTTCTGGAATGTGGGCGGCTATGATCAGTCCTCTGGAGTGTGGACGGCCATGATTAATCCTCTGGAGTGTGGACGGCCATGATTAATCCTCTGGAGTGTGGACGGCCATGATTAATCCTCTGGAGTGTGGACGGCCATGATTAATCCTCTGGAGTGTGGACGGCCATGACCAGTTCTCTGGAGTGTGGAAACGCCCCCTTGCCTCCTTCTCCCATCACCTCACTCACAGCTTCACCACCCAGCTTCTGCTATTCTTCACCACCCACATGGTTGGCTCCGCTCGCCACCGAGCCTAGGAGCCGTCTTTCACCAGCTTTATAGCCCAGCTGCTGCTCTTCTTTGTCATCCACATGGCTGGTTCAGCGATCTACAGGAACATAGGAGCTGTCTTCGGGCTTAATGCTCCTCCCTTTTCCCCTTGCCACCCGCTCTCGCCTCCTCTCCAGCTTCATAGCCCAGCTGCTGCTCTTCTTTGTCATCCACATGGCCGGCTCAGCGCTCTACCGGACCATCGGAGCTGTCTTTCGCAGCGTCGCTCTGAGCAACACCCTGGGCAACTCTGTGCTTGTCCTCTTCTTCCTGCTCTCCGGGTTCATCATTACCAAAGGTGCGTGACTGTGAGGCGTGTGATTGTGAGGCGTGTGATTGTGAGGTGTGTGATTGTGAGGTGTGTGATTGTGAGTTGTGTGATTGTCAGGTATGTGATATACCTTGGGGTTGATTCACAGGTCCATCTCGGCTTGGATGACAGTCCTCCTCGTCCTCTTCTTCCTGCTCTCTGGGTTCATCATTACCAAAGGTGCGTGACTGCGAGGTACTGTCAATCAGTCGGATGTCAGTCGGATTCCAGTCAAATGTCTGTCAGGTGTCAGTCAGATGTGGATTCATCATCACATACTACTGCTCCTCATCCCATCCTCACCAGCCCCCATCCACCTTCTCCATCCTTTCCCCCCTGCAGCTGACATCCACAGCGTGTGGGTGTGGGTGTATTGGATCTCACCCCTCACCTACTGCTCTCTCATCCCATCCCATGTTCTCTTTGTCCCATGTTCTCTCTCTCATCCCTCTTTGCTCCTTGCAGCTGACATCCACAGCGTGTGGGTGTGGGTGTATTGGATCTCACCCCTCTCCTACTGCTCTCTCATCCCATCCAATGTTCTCTTGTCCCATGTGCTCTCTCTCATCCCTCTTTGCTCCTTGCAGCTGACATCCACAGCGTGTGGGTGTGGGTGTATTGGATCTCGCCCCTCACCTACGTGCAAAACGCCTTCTCTGCTAATGAGTTCCTCGCCCCCAGATGGGATGTGGTACGTGCTGTGCCATGGTGATATGCTATGGTTTGGTATGGTATGGTATGGTATGGTATGGTATGGTATGGTATGGTATGGTATGGTATGGTATGGTATGGTATGGTATGGTATGGTATGGTTCGGTATGGTATGGTATTGTATTGTATGGTATGGTACGCTTCTATGCAGCATGGTATAATATGGTATGGTGCGGTGCGGTGTGGTGTGGGGTGGCGTGGCATGGTATGGTATCCATGAACTAGGCATTATGCTTGTTATATGGCACAAACCACGTGCATGAGACGTTTGGGAAAAGGGGTCATGCTATGTCGTATGTCATGGGGCGTTTCTTTCCATGGCATGACAAGTATTGTATCATGCCATGTTTGATACTATTCCATGCATGGTGCTATGCCATGTGCGATATTATTCCATGCATGGTGCTATGCCATGTGCGATACTATTCCATGCATGGTGCTATGCCATGTGCGATACTATTCCATGCATGGTGCTATGCCTTGTGCGATACTATTCCATGCATGGGGGTGCTATGCCATGTGCAATACTATTCCATGCATGGTGCTATGCCATGTGCGATACTATTCCATGCATGGTGCTATGCCATGTGTGATACTATTCCATGCATGGAGCTATGCCATGTGTGATACTATTCCATGGATGGTGCTACGCCATGTGCGATACTATTCCATGCATGGTGCTATGCCATGTGCGATACTATTCCATGCATGGTGCTATGCCATGTGCGATACTATTCCATGCACGGTGCTATGCCATGTGCGATACTATTCCATGCATGGTGCTATGCCATGTGCGATACTATTCCATGCATGGTGCTATGCCACGTGCGATACTATTCCATGCATGGTGCTATGCCATGTGCGATACTATTCCATGCATGGTGCTATGCCATGTGGGATACTATTCTATGCATGGTGCTATGCCATGTGCGATACTATTCCATCCATGGTGCTATGCCATGTGCGATACTATTCCATGCATGGTGCTATGCCAGGTGCGATACTATTCCAACCATGGTGCTATGCCATGTGCGATACTATTCCATGCATGGTGCTATGACATGTGCGATACTATTCCATGCATGGTGCTATGCCATGTGCGATACTATTCCATGCATGGTGCTATGCCATGTGCGATACTATTCCATGCATGGTGCTATGCCATGTGCGATACTATTCCATGCATGGTGCTATGCCATGTGCGATACTATTCCATGCATGGTGCTATGCCATGTGCGATACTATTCCATGCACGGTGCTATGCCATGTGCGATACTATTCGATGCATGGTGCTATGCCATGTGCGATACTATTCCATGCATGGTGCTATGCCATGTGCGATACTATTCCATGCATGGTGCTATGCCATGTGCGATACTATTCCATGCATGGTGCTATGCCATGAGCGATACTATTCCATTCATGGTGCTATGCCATGTGCGATACTATTTCATGCATGGTGCTATGCCATGTGCGATACTATTCCATGCATGGTGCTATGCCATGTGTGATACTAAGCCGTGTGATGCTATGCTATCAGCCACGTAGTTTCACAAATGGCATACTACCTCTTGCCTACCTCCTCGATTCTCCTTCCCCCATTCTCCCTCCTGCTCTCCACCCTGCCTGCTGTCCCCTCCTCTTTGAACACAACAGTGGGCCTTCAGGTGCACAGCCCGCAGCTTTTGGACCGATCCCAACTTGGTGCGGCCCAGTTGCCTCACCATCTTTTCCCACTCACCCACTCCCCTCTTCGCCCTCCTCCCCCTCTTCGCCTTCCTCCCCCTCTTCGCCCTCCTACCCCTCTTCGCCCTGCCTTCCCTGCTCCTCAGCCAGCTGTCCCCTCCTCTTTGAACACAACAGTGGGCCTTCAGGTGCTCACAGCCCGCAGCTTTTGGACTGAAGCGTACTGGTGTGGGCAGGGGGGCTCGTTGGTGTGGTCTTCACTCTCTTACTCAACATCCTTACCGTCATCGCGCTGAAATTCCTCAACCGTAAGCACTGCACTGAGTACCGAGGTGTGCTTTGAGTCAACTCACAACACATTCAAGCCGGTGTTGCCATTGGTGTCCCCTTCACTCTCTTACTCAACATCCTCACCGTCATCGCACTGAAATTCCTCAACCGTAAGCACTGCACTGAGTACCGAGGTGTGCTTTGAGTCAACTCACAACACATTCAAGCCAGTGTTGCCATTGGTGTCCCCTTCACTCTCTTACTCAACATCCTTACCATCCTCGCACTCAAATACCTCAACCGTAAGCACTGCACTGAGTACCGAGGTGTGCTTTGAGTCAATTCACAACACATTCAAGCCGGTGTTGCCATTGGTGTCCCCTTCACTCTCTTACTCAACATTCTTACCATCCTCGCACTCAAATACCTCAACCGTAAGCACTTCACTGAGAACCGAGGTGTGCCTTGAGTCGACTCGCAACACATAAAACCAATGATGTCGCAGGTGTCCCCTTCACTCCCGTCTTCAACATCCTCACCATCCTCACACTCAATTGCCCTTTTCATATGACCCACCCTTCTCCTTTCCTCGCCCTTCAGGCCTACCATTCCATTCCAATTTCCCACTCATTCCAATTCCCTCTCTCTCCCCTCGAATCTCCCCCAGCGTGGCCCAGGGCTCAGCCAGTGATCTCGCAGCATCAGCTGGACGCCCGGGAGACAGCCCTAGCCGGCACCAACCTGGACTTCGCCTCGCGCTACTCCAATCTCCGTTCCCTCACACTCGCCAGCACCGGCTCCACCGCCACGGCCCGCTTCCTCGCCAGCAACCGCTTCCGCTCCTCCAAGAGCCTCGTCACACCTCTGCCTTCTGGCCAGTCGCTCAAAGGTTTTCCTTCGGGCAGCCCGGCGGTTCGCCTGCGAAGTTTTGCCCCGCGAATGATGTCAGACGGAGGGGGAGGGGGAGCGGGTTACACGAGCCACAGGAGGGGCTTGGGCTTTAAGGAGAGCATCGGCAGCGGGGACTCGTTAAAGCGCAGTACTAGCCGTATGGGACAGTTCATGCGCAGCAAGACGGTGGGAGAGGCGGAAGGGGGGTCTGCTTTCCCTGCGTCAACGAGTGCACCTAGGGGAAAGTCCCTGGTTGTTGGTGTTGCTAGTGGTGGTGCTGCTGCTTCTGCTGTTGAGAATGCCACGGGTGTCACTGCAATTAGCACCACAGGCGGCAGGGGTGAGAAGAAGCTACAGAGGCGAGTGGTGACATTCCTGACTGATGGGGGGGATGGTGCGGGTGATGGTGGAGGGGTGACTCCTGTTGCTACAAGCACAGAAGGCGGAGAGGATAAACAGCAACAGAGAAAGGCTCTGACAAGAAACGACAGCCTGGAAAGAGACGACGAGTTACATTCAGTTACATCGGCCAGTGTTCCCACGGGGCTGTCCAGTGCGCCCAATGGGCTGTCCAGTGTGCCCTCTGGGGTCTCAGGTGGAGGGGACTTAAGCCAGCATGGCATGGTCCTCCCCTTTGATCCTCTCACTCTCTCCTTCCACAACGTCAACTACTATGTCGACATGCCCGCTGAGCTAAAAGACAAGGCCGGGCCTCCCGGCCAGCGGCTGCAGCTGCTGCACAACGTGTCCGGCATCTTTCGTCCCGGAGTGCTGACCGCCCTGATGGGGGTGTCTGGGGCAGGGAAGACCACGCTAATGGACGTGCTGGCAGGGAGGAAGACCGGGGGGTACATTGAAGGGAATATCCGCGTGTCTGGGTACCCGAAAGTGCAGGAGACGTTTCTTCGGGTGTCAGGGTATTGTGAGCAGGAGGACATTCACACGCCCCAGGTGACCGTGCACGAGTCTCTGCTCTACTCCGCCTGGCTGCGCCTGCCTGAGGAGATCGATAGGGATGTCATAATGGTGAGTGAACGGGTGTGACTACTGTGAATGGAGGGATGTGTTAATCGTGAATTGAGAGATGTGATAATGGTGAATTGAGAGATGTGATAATTGTGAACGCAAGAGGTGAGAGGAGTTGAAGGAGCTGGTGGAGCTAAAGGGAGTGATACACGTGCTCTGCTGGTGCAGCTAGAGGGTGGTGAAACAGGTGTAGTGAAGACCCTCTCACTACCCAATGGAGTTCTGTGCACTCACTACCCTCTCTTCCTTGCCTCACTACCCTCTCTTCCTTGCCTCACTACCCTCTCTGCCTTGCCTCACTACCCTCTCTTCCTTGCCTCACTACCCTCTCTTCCTTGCCTCACTACCCTCTCTTCCTTGCCTCACTACACTCTCTTCCTTGCCTCACTACTCTCTCTTCCTTGCCTCACTACCCTCTCTTCCTTGCCTCACTACCCTCTCTTCCTTGCCTCACTACCCTCTCTTCCTTGCCTCACTACCCTCTCTTCCTTGCCTCACTACCCTCTCTTCCTTGCCTCACTACCCTCTCGTCCTTGCCTCACTACCCTCTCTTCCTTGCCTCACTACCCTCTCGTCCTTGCCTCACTACCCTCTCTTCCTTGCCTCACTACCCTCTCGTCCTTGCCTCACTACCCTCTCGTCCTTGCCTCACTACCCTCTCGTCCTTGCCTCACTACCCTCTCGTCCTTGCCTCACTACCCTCTCGTCCTTGCCTCACTACCCTCTCTTCCTTGCCTCACTACCCTCTCTTCCTTGCCTCACTACCCTCTCTTCCTTGCCTCACTACCCTCTCTTCCTTGCCTCACTACCCTCTCTTCCTTGCCTCACTACCCTCTCTTCCTTGCCTCACTACCCTCTCTTCCTTGCCTCACTACCCTCTCGTCCTTGCCTCACTACCCTCTCGTCCTTGCCTCACTACCCTCTCGTCCTTGCCTCACTACCCTCTCGTCCTTGCCTCACTACCCTCTCTTCCTTGCCTCACTACCCTCTCTTCCTTGCCTCACTACCCTCTCTTCCTTGCCTCACTACCCTCTCTTCCTTGCCTCACTACCCTCTCTTCCTTGCCTCACTACCCTCTCGTCCTTGCCTCACTACCCTCTCGTCCTTGCCTCACTACCCTCTCGTCCTTGCCCCACTACCCTCTCGTCCTTGCCTCACTACCCTCTCGTCCTTGCCTCACTACCCTCTCGTCCTTGCCTCACTACCCTCTCTTCCTTGCCTCACTACCCTCTCTGCCTTGCCTCACTACCCTCTCTTCCTTGCCTCACTACCCTCTCTGCCTTGCCTCACTACCCTCTCTTCCTTGCCTCACTACCCTCTCTTCCTTGCCTCACTACCCTCTCTTCCTTGCCTCACTACCCTCTCTTCCTTGCCTCACTCACTACCCTCTCTGCCTTGCCTCACTACCCTCTCTTCCTTGCCTCACTACCCTCTCTTCCTTAACTCACTACCCTCTCTTCCTTGCCTCACTACCCTCTCTGCCTTGCCTCACTACCCTCTCTTCTTTGGCTCACTACCCTCTCTGCCTTGCCTCACTACCCTCTCTTCCTTGCCTCACTACCCTCTCTTCCTTGCCTCACTACCCTCTCTGCCTTGCCTCACTACCCTCTCTTCCTTGCCTCACTACCCTCTCTGCCTTGCCTCACTACCCTCTCTTCCTTGCCTCACTACCCTCTCTGCCTTGCCTCACTACCCTCTCTTCCTTGCCTCACTACCCTCTCTGCCTTGCCTCACTACCCTCTCTTCCTTGCCTCACTACCCTCTCTTCCTTGCCTCACTACCCTCTCTGCCTTGCCTCACTACCCTCTCTTCCTTGCCTCACTACCCTCTCTGCCTTGCCTCACTACCCTCTCTTCCTTGCCTCACTACCCTCTCTGCCTTGCCTCACTACCCTCTCTTCCTTGCCTCACTACCCTCTCTGCCTTGCCTCACTACCCTCTCTTCCTTGCCTCACTACCCTCTCTGCCTTGCCTCACTACCCTCTCTTCCTTGCCTCACTACCCTCTCTTCCTTGCCTCACTACCCTCTCTGCCTTGCCTCACTACCCTCTCTGCCTTGCCTCACTACCCTCTCTTCCTTGCCTCACTACCCTCTCTGCCTTGCCTCACTACCCTCTCTTCCTTGCCTCACTACCCTCTCTTCCTTGCCTCACTACCCTCTCTGCCTTGCCTCACTACCCTCTCTTCCTTGCCTCACTACCCTCTCTTCCTTGCCTCACTACCCTCTCTTCCTTGCCTCACTACCCTCTCTTCCTTGCCTCACTACCCTCTCTTCCTTGCCTCACTACCCTCTCTTCCTTGCCTCACTACCCTCTCTTCCTTGCCTCACTACCCTCTCTTCCTTGCCTCACTACCCTCTCTGCCTTGCCTCAACCTCTTCTCTCCCTCTACCTCTGCAACTGGAATTCGTGGAGTTGGAGGAATTGGTGGAGCTAGATCCAGTGAAGGGTGCATGCAGTGGTGCAAGAGTTATCTCAGGGCTCTCTCCTCATCCCGGCCTCTCTCCTCATCCTGGCCTCTCTCCTCATCCCGGCATCTCTCCTCATCCCGGCATCTCTCCTCATCTCGCCCATCTGAAATTTCAGGAATTCGTAGAGGAGGTGATGGACTTGGAGGAGTTAGAGCCGGTGAAGGGCGCGCTGGTGGGAGTCTGTGCTCATAGTTCAGTTTTGAGGCGCCTCAAGACTAGATGGTGGGAGTCTGTGCTCATGCCTCGCTCCCCGCATCCCTCTGCCCTCTCCTCTCTGTAGGAGTTCGTGGAGGAGGTGGAGGAGCTGGTTGAGCTGGAGGCGGTACAAGGGGCACTGCTGGGATCCTGTGCTCATGCCTCTTTCTGCCCATCTCTGTTAACATCCCATACCCCTCTGCCCTCTCCTCTCCAGGAATTCGTGGAGGAGGTGGAGGAGCTGGTGGAGTTAGATGCGGTGAAGGGGGCGCTGGTGGGGACGGCGGGGAAGGACGGGCTGTCGGTGGAGCAGAGGAAGCGGCTGACCATCGCAGTGGAGCTCGTAGCCAACCCGTCAATCATCTTCATGGATGAACCCACCTCAGGTGATACCCGCCCCCACCATCAGGTACCACCTCCCTCTCACGTAACCCGTCAATCATATTCATCGATGAACCCACCTCAGGTACCACCTCCCCCTCGCCTCTGGTACCGCCTGTTCATCAGGTAACACCCACCAATCATGCAAAGTCTTCCCCTCTCCCTCCTTGGTATTACGCTCCCTCTCTTCTCTTTCCTTGGTGATTTGATCTTCCTTCTCTCCTCTCCCTCCCTGCTAATGCACTTATATCCTTGTGTCCCTGCTGTTACACTCTTTATCCTCTTTTTACCCTTCCCCCTTCACATCCTGTTACATCCCGAGCCAGCCTGGGTGCGAGGGCAGCGGCGGCCATAGTGATGAGGGTGGTGCGGTGCGCAGCACACCTCTTTCCCTCAGCTTCTTTTCTCTTTCAATCATCTTCTTACTAACCTTCCTCGCATCCAATCACAGGCCTGGATGCGAGGGCAGCGGCCATAGTGATGAGGGCGGTGCGCAACACAGTCAACACAGGCCGCACAGTCTTGTGCACCATCCACCAGCCGTCCATTGACATCTTTGAGGCGTTTGACGAGGTGAGGCAAAGATACAGTGTGCACTTGTACAGATGTCCATAAAGAGTCCACTAACACCGCATGGGGCCGCACAATCGTGTGCACCATCCACCAGCCGTCCATCGACATCTTTGAGGCGTTTGACGAGGTGAGGCAAAGATACAGTGTGCACTTGTACAGATGTCCATAAAGAGTCCACTAACACCGCATGGGGCCGCACAATCGTGTGCACCATCCACCAGCTGTCCATCGACATCTTTGAGGCGTTTGACGAGGTGAGGCAAAGATACAGTGTGCACTTGTACAGATGTCCATAAAGAGTCCACTAACACCGCATGGGGCCGCACAATCGTGTGCACCATCCACCAGCTGTCCATCGACATCTTTGAGGCGTTTGACGAGGTGAGGCAAAGATACAGTGTGCACTTGTACAGATGTCCATGAAGAGTCCACTAACACCGCATGGGGCCGCACAGTTGTGTGCACTATCCACCAGCCGTCCATCCGCATTTTTCTTTTTTTAGTCGACTCAAATCAGTCTTGAAACGGAAAGGAGAATGGCACTGAAGGTCGTTCTTGAGGCGCCTCAAAGGCGACCTCAATGAAACGGAAAGGAGAATGGCACTGAAGGTCGTTCTTGAGGCGCCTCAAAGGCGACCTCAATGAAACGGAAAGGAGAATGGCACTGAAGGTCGTTCTTGAGGCGCCTCAAAGGCGACCTCAATGAAACGGAAAGGAGAATGGCACTGAAGGTCGTTCTTGAGGCGCCTCAAAGGCGACCTCAATGAAACGGAAAGGAGAATGGCACTGAAGGTCGTTCTTGAGGCGCCTCAAAGGCGACCTCAATGAAACGGAAAGGAGAATGGCACTGAAGGTCGTTCTTGAGGCGCCTCAAAGGCGACCTCAATGAAACGGAAAGGAGAATGGCACTGAAGGTCGTTCTTGAGGCTCCTCAAAGGCGACCTCAATGAAACGGAAAGGAGAATGGCACTGAAGGTCGTTCTTGAGGCGCCTCAAAGGCGACCTCAATGAAACGGAAAGGAGAATGGCACTGAAGGTCGTTCTTGAGGCGCCTCAAAGGCGACCTCAATGAAACGGAAAGGAGAATGGCACTGAAGGTCGTTCTTGAGGCGCCTCAAAGGCGACCTCAATGAAACGGAAAGGAGAATGGCACTGAAGGTCGTTCTTGAGGCGCCTCAAAGGCGACCTCAATGAAACGGAAAGGAGAATGGCACTGAAGGTCGTTCTTGAGGCGCCTCAAAGGCGACCTCAATGAAACGGAAAGGAGAATGGCACTGAAGGTCGTTCTTGAGGCGCCTCAAAGGCGACCTCAATGAAACGGAAAGGAGAATGGCACTGAAGGTCGTTCTTGAGGCGCCTCAAAGGCGACCTCAATGAAACGGAAAGGAGAATGGCACTGAAGGTCGTTCTTGAGGCGCCTCAAAGGCGACCTCAATGAAACGGAAAGGAGAATGGCACTGAAGGTCGTTCTTGAGGCGCCTCAAAGGCGACCTCAATGAAACGGAAAGGAGAATGGCACTGAAGGTCGTTCTTGAGGCGCCTCAAAGGCGACCTCAATGAAACGGAAAGGAGAATGGCACTGAAGGTCGTTCTTGAGGCGCCTCAAAGGCGACCTCAATGAAACGGAAAGGAGAATGGCACTGAAGGTCGTTCTTGAGGCGCCTCAAAGGCGACCTCAATGAAACGGAAAGGAGAATGGCACTGAAGGTCGTTCTTGAAGCGCCTCAAAGGCGACCTCAATGAAACGGAAAGGAGAATGGCACTGCAAGGATTGGGACTGGGCTCAAAAGGGCACCGCTTGTGGGATGCTGTAGAGAAACAGAAAAGTAGATGGAGGTTGAGAACAGTTCTGCACTGTAGGGTGGTTCTAGCAAGGCCGGATTGATGGGACAATGTTCTTGAAGAACATAGGCCGCGTGAATGTGTTTGATTTATCACCTGCGTACAGTGCCATTGGTGCCATTGGTTGAAAGTGGCACGGTGTGGCGTGCCTCGAAGCAGCACTGCGTGCCTCAAAACTTGAAGTACCACTGTAACAATCTTACTACCCTAACCAGTAACCACGCCTATGACGACTTTTGAGGCGCCTCAAAACTTGAAGTACCACTGTAACAATCGTACTACCCTAACCAGTAACCACGCCTGTGCCTCACCTTGAAGTAGCGAATGAGGTCGCACGATTGTTTCCCCGACGATCCCGTGTAGATGACCTCGCCTCCCCGCTGCATCAGCAGCAGCTGCAGGGCAGTGGGAGGTGGGGGGCGGGGAGGTGGGAAGGAGGCTGGGGGGGGGGGGGGGAATGAGTTGAGGAGGTGGGTATGGCAACAAGTGAGAGATTCCAGGGAAAACACTCGAGAGAGGTTACGGGCCCACAAAGCGCAAGCATACAAATACAACCACCTCACAGCTGTACAAAGCTGTATGGTGTAGTCGACTCAATCACAGCTGTACAAAGCTGTATGGTGTAGTCGACTCAATCACAGCTGTACAAAGCTGTATGGTGTAGTCGACTCAATCACAGCTGTACAAAGCTGTATGGTGTAGTCGACTCAATCACAGCTGTACAAAGCTGTATGGTGTAGTCGACTCAATCACAGCTGTACAAAGCTGTATGGTGTAGTCGACTCAATCACAGCTGTACAAAGCTGTATGGTGTAGTCGACTCAATCACAGCTGTACAAAGCTGTATGGTGTAGTCGACTCAATCACAGCTGTACAAAGCTGTATGGTGTAGTCGACTCAATCACAGCTGTACAAAGCTGTATGGTGTAGTCGACTCAATCACAGCTGTACAAAGCTGTATGGTGTAGTCGACTCAATCACAGCTGTACAAAGCTGTATGGTGTAGTCGACTCAATCACAGCTGTACAAAGCTGTATGGTGTAGTCGACTCAATCACAGCTGTACAAAGCTGTATGGTGTAGTCGACTCAATCACAGCTGTACAAAGCTGTATGGTGTAGTCGACTCAATCACAGCTGTACAAAGCTGTATGGTGTAGTCGACTCAATCACAGCTGTACAAAGCTGTATGGTGTAGTCGACTCAATCACAGTTGTACAAAGCTGTATGGTGTAGTCGACTCAATCACAGCTGTACAAAGCTGTATGGTGTAGTCGACTCAATCACAGCTGTACAAAGCTGTATGGTGTAGTCGACTCAATCACAGCTGTACGAAGCTGTATGGTGTATTTTTTTATGCACCTTCCAACAGCTGTCCATCGCTTCGAAGATGTCGATGGAAGGCTGGTGGATAGTGCACATGACTGTGGGCCCCCATGCATTCTTAGACTCCATCATAGAAATGCACATTATGTGTTCGTGTTACCTCGTCAGAGGCCTCGAAGATGTCAATGGACAGCTGGTGGATGGTGCACACGACTGTGCCACCCATGGCGTCATAGTGGGCGTTTATACAAGCGCATATTGTAGATGTGTGTTACCTCGTCAAAGGCCTCAAATATGTCGATGGACGGCTGGTGGATGGTGCACACGACTGTGCGGCCCGTGTTGACTGTGTTGCGCACCGCCCTCATCACTATGGCCGCTGCCCTCGCATCCAGCCCTGCTCGGAATGAGAGGAGAGAGAGAAAGAAGAAAAGAGAACAAAGAAAGAAGGGGAGGGAAAGGAGAAAGAAGATAAGAGAACGAAGAAAGGAGGGGAGGGAAAGGAGTTGAAGAAAAGAGAACGAAGAAAGAAGGGGAGGGAAAGAGGTGTGTTGCGCTTTGCCCTCATCATCATGGCGGCTGCCCTCACCATCATGACGGCTGCCCTCGCATTCAGCCCTGTTCACACTATGAGGAGGGAGAAGAGAGAGAGGTGAAATGAAACTAGGAGAAAGAGAGAAAGGTGAAATGAAACTAGGAGAAAGAGAGAAAGGTGAAATGAAACTAGGAGAAAGAGAGATGAAATTTAGGATACACGACCCCTGCAGTAGCAACTGCCTGAAGCGAATACTACTCAAGGGATATGTGCTGAGAGGTGTTGCCCGAGGGGGAGGTGGTACCTGAGGGGGAGGTGGTACCTGAGAGGGAGGTGAGAGGGAGGTGGTACCTGAGGGGGAGGTGGTACCTGAAGGGAAGGCGTTACCTGAGGTGGGTTCATCCATGAAGATGATTGACGGGTTGGCTACGAGCTCCACTGCGATGGTCAGCCGCTTCCTCTGCTCCACCGACAGCCCGTCCTGCCCCGCCGTCCCCACCAGCGCTCCCTTCACCGCATCTAACTCCACCAGCTCCTCCACCTCCTCAACGAATTCCTGAAATTTCAGATGGGCGAGATGAGGAGAGAGGCAGGGACAAGGAGAGAGGCAGGGATGAGGAGAGGCCTGAGATAACACCCGCACCACCGCATGCACCCTTCACTGGATGTAGCTCCACCAAGGCCTCCCCCCTCCACGAATTCCTGTTGTGGGGGTAAGGAATAAAGGGTAGGGAGAGAAGAGGCTGAGGCAAGGAAGAGAGGGTAGGGAGAGAAGAGGCGGCAAGGAAGAGAGGGTAGTGAGAGAAGAGGCTGAGGCAAGGAAGAGAGGGTAGTGAGAGAAGAGGCTGAGGCAAGGAAGAGAGGGTAGTGAGAGAAGAGGCTGAGGCAAGGAAGAGAGGGTAGTGAGAGAAGAGGCTGAGGCAAGGAAGAGAGGGTAGTGAGAGAAGAGGCTGAGGCAAGGAAGAGAGGGTAGTGAGGCAAGGCAGAGAGGGGTAGTGAGGCAAGGAAGAGAGGGTAGTGAGGCAAGGAAGAGAGGGTAGTGATGTTGTAATTTCATAATTTGTACAACATACATAGGCTAGAATTAGATCTGTAGTACACTTATAAATTGGGGGGTTGTTTAGTGTACCCTCCAACCACATTTTGTGGTTGGTTGGGATTGGTCCCTAGCTCAACCAATCCCAACCAACACACATTTGTGGTTGCTTGGGTCACAAGCAAGCTCACCCATTGGCCAACTTATTGGCCAATAGGGTAAGCTTCCCTTTCATCTCTCTCTTGCTCATTGTTTGTACTAAAGGGCCTCTTGGCTCATTATTCAATGTATCTCTTCTAGCTTTTCAACATGGTATCATGAGCTATTGGCTCACGCCTTAATCCCTCGATCCTAAGGCCACCCTCTCCTCCCCGTCCCTCAGACCTAGTCCTACTACGGTGCTCCCAAGCTCAGATCTACTCCTCTCGAGCTCCGATCTACTCCTCCCGAGCTCACATCTACTCGTCCCAAGCTCAGATCTACTCCTCCCAAGCTCACATCTACTCCTCCCGAGCTCAGATCTATCCCCCCCGAGCTCAGATCTACTCCTCCCGAGCTCACATCTACTCCTCCCGAGCTCAGATCTACTCCTCCCGAGCTCAGATCTACTCCTCCCGAGCTCACATCTACTCCTCCCGAGCTCAGATCTACTCCTCCCGAGCTCAGATCTACTCCTCCCGAGCTCACATCTACTCCTCCCGAGCTTAGATCTACTCCTCCCGAGCTCACATCTATTCCTCCCCGTTCCTCAGATCTAGCCCCACCCACGGAGCTGCCCTCCCTTCACGCACCCTTAAGGCGCTGTCCTCCCTCCCCGTGCGCCCCCTAAGGCGCTGCCCTCCAAGGCACGTCCAGATCTGCAACTCCAGCGCCCAGATCTGCATTCCCCGCGCTCAGATCTGCAACTCCAGCGCCCAGATCTGCATTCCCCGCGCTCAGATCTGCAACTCCAGCGCCCAGATCTGCACTCCCTGCGACCAGATCTACTCCTCCCGCGCCTAGATCTGATCATTCCGCGCCCAGATCTGGATTCCGCGCCACCAGATCTCCTCCTCCCGCGCCCAGATCTGAACATTTCGCGCCCAGATCTGCACTCCGCGCGCCCAGATCTGCCCTCCGCGCGCCCAGATCTGCCCTCCGCGCGACCAGATCTGCATCTCCCGCGCTGAAATCTGACCATTTCGCGCCCATCTCTGCTCGTCCGCGCCCTGCCCGTCCGCACGCCCTGCTCGTCCGCGCCCTGCCCGTCCGCACGCCCTGCTCGTCCGCGCCCTGCCCGTCCGCACGCCCTGCTCGTCCGCGCCGTGCCCATCCGCACGCCCTGCTCGTCCGCGCCGTGCCCGTCCGCGCGCCCTGCTCGTCCGCGCCGTGCCCGTCCGCGCGCCCTGCTCGTCCGCCCTTCGCGTCCGCGCCCTGCCCGTCCGCACGCCCTGCTCGTCCGCGCCCTGCCCGTCCGCACGCCCTGCTCGTCCGCGCCCTGCCCGTCCGCACGCCCTGCTCGTCCGCGCCCTGCCCGTCCGCGCGCTCTGCTCGTCCGCGCCCTGCCCGTCCGCGCGCCCTGCTCGTCCGCGCCCTCCCCGTCCGCGCACTCGTCGCACGCCCTCCTTCCCCGCTCGCTGTCCCCCGTCCCCTCGTCCGCCCCCTGCCCACCTCCCCGGCATACCGCACATTTGCAAACGCATACCGCACACCTTCATGCCCTGCTCGCCTGCGCCATGCCGTAACCGCCCACACTCACATTGCTCCCTCCATGGCAATAGTCGCCCTGGCATGCAGCAGAAGTGGTGCCGGTGGGCATGGAGGAGGGCATAGTGGTAGCTGTGGTGGTGGTCAAGGGAGACTCGCAGGATATTGTGGTATCAGGGGTTTGAGCGCAGGCTGCGGCGCAGCAGCAGCCTTCTCTCCTCGTGAATATGTGCCTCGCTATGGCCCGACTCGGGGACTTCAGTGCAAAATCTCCACCCAAGCCCACCATGCCCCGAGTCCACCCTTCTCTCCTCCTCCTCCTCAGCAGCAGCAGCAGCAGCAGCAGCAGCAGCAGCAGCAGCACCAGCAGCAGCACCAGCAGCAGCAGCAGCAGCGGCAGCGGCAGCGGCAGCAGCAGCAGCAGCAGCAGCAGCAGCAGCAGCAGCAGCAGCAGCAGCAGCACCAGCACCAGCAGCTCTGGCACCTCCTCCTCCAGCTCCAGCAGTTGCTTCACCGCCTGCAGCAGCACCTTAGCGCACAAGCGCAGCTGCCTCTTCCTCCTCCTCCCCCAACTTCCCAGCAGAACTCAGTTCCGCATTGTTCCACAAGCTCCGCCACTTCAAGCAATGTCCCACCTCTCTCATCCGTTGGTATTGCTGGTATGGTCAATCAAGCCACATCAGCTGCCCCTGCCACATACTCCTCTAGCACTAAAGAAACTGCGTTCCAGTCCTCTGTCCCTTCCTCCTCCCTCCCCTCCACTGTCGACTTTGTCCTTGACAGCGGCGCCACTGACACAGTTCTTCGCGATGCTGGCACCTTGCGCCCCCTCCCAACGCCTACCTCCCTCCTTGGCGCCGATAGCAGCTTCTCTATCCCCTGCCATAACACCTCGACTCTCCCCTGCCCACTCTTCCCCTCAGGCACTGTCACCGGTCTCCACATACCCTCTCTTCGCGCTAATCTCCTCTCGCAAAGGTCCCTTCAACAAGCCGGTATCACCACAGTATTCCCAGCTTATGCTAACTATTGCGCTCTCTACCATTCCGCCACCGGTCAGTTCATTTCTCGCATTCCATTTTGCCCTCGCTCCCGTCTGTACACCCTTCGTGTTCCTCGCCTCCCCTCCTGTCAGGTCATCTCTCGTCCTCCCCTCCACCCTCTCATCCCACCCCCTCCTCTCCCTCCCACTAACCCGGACCTCCCTTCACGCCCCCCCCCTGACTCCTCTTGCTCCTGTCGCTCCCTCTCCCACCCTGCCGTCCTCCTCCATCACAGGCTAGGTCACCCTAACTTCGCTACTCTACGCTCCTCTGTTTCCTCCGGTCTCCTCCAGGGTCTCCCCTCCTCCCTCCCTCCTCTCCCCAAATCCCCTGCCCCCCCCTGCACCGTCTGCGTTCAGAGCAAGCTCAAGCAGCAGCCGCACCGGAGCTCCCCCTCCGCTGCTGCTCAGCCACTTGATCTTGTTCACATGGACCTCTGGGGCCCCAATCCCTCTCCCACTCGCCAGGGCCATCGATACCTCCTCGTACTCGTCGATGATCACAGTCGGTACTCGTCCGTCTCTCTCCTTCGGACGAAGGCAGATGCCCCGGCTGCGATCATCGCCTGGCTCGAGCGAGCAAACACCCATTTTGGGCGCCCTGTTCGCCGCCTTCACTCTGATGGTGGTGGTGAGTTCCTTAACAACCAAATATCCTCCTATTGCCAGTCTCATGGCATTCTTCAGACTTACACCCTCCCTCACTCCCCACAGCAGAACGGTGTGGCTGAAAGTCGTGTTCGAGAGATCACCAAAACTGCCCGGTGTCTCCTTGTCCACGCCTCCTGCCCTCCTTCTCTGTGGGGCTACGCCCTCCTTCATGCCGCCCTGCTTACTAACCTTTACCCTCACCCTCTTCTCCCATCCACCACCCCCACTGAGCTGTGGACGAACAACAAGCCTGATGTCTCATCTCTTCGTGTCTGGGGCTCAAAGGCTTATGTCCTTCTTCACCCCGCTGACCGCTCCCGTTCTATGGGAAAGCTTGCCCCTCGTACCCTTCCCTGCATCTTTCTTGGTCATAACTCCTCCTCACCTGACTACCTTTTCCTCCATCCCCCCTCAGGTCGTCTATTCCGCAGTAGGGATGTGGTCTTTGATGAGTCCACTCCTTACTACTCCTCTCCCCCATCCACTGACCCACTCCCCCGTCTTCCCCGTCCCCTTGTCTGGTCTGACACCACCCCTCCCCCTCTACTTCCTCCTCCCCCCATCCTCCCTCCCCCTCCCCCACCGTCGTCCTCGTCCCACGGTGCCCCTCCCTTGTCTGGTGATATATTTGACCTGGAACCTCTGTCCTCTCCCGTCTCCCCCACACATTCCTCTCCTAGTGCCCCTCCCGCCCCTCCTTCACCTCCCTCGCTGCCGACTCGTCCTTCCCCCCCTCCCCGCACTGTACTAACCCGGTACCCCCATACCAGGTCACAAGACAGTATCCTTGGTGCACCGCCCCCTGTTACCCTCTCTACCTCTACCCTCCCCCCACTCTCCCCTCTCCTTCACCACTTCTTCCAGGCTGTTCTGCATCAACCTCCCCCTGCAGCAGCCCCCGCCGCCACCTCTCCAGCAGCGGCGCCAGCAGCAGCACCAGCAGCACGACCAGCAGCGGCACCAGCAGCAGGACCAGCAGCGGCACCAGCAGCAGGACCAGCAGCGGTACCAGCAGCAGGACCAGCGGCGGCACCAGCAGCGGCACCAGCAGCGTCACCAACAACGGCACCAGCAGCAGGACCAGCAGCGGCACCAGCAGCAGGACCAGCAGCGGCACCAGCAGCGGCACCAGCAGCGGCACTACCAGCGGCACGTGCAGCAGCACCAGCGGCACCAACGGTCATCCGCTCCTTCCACACCTCCCTCTCTGAGGACTCCCATGAGGAGTTCCTTGACCTCCACCTCTGTGACCCTTCCCTTCTACCCATCACCTTCGACCTTTCTGGGACACCTGTCTTCGCATTCTCCTCTGCTCCCTCCGTTTTCATCCCTACCACGTATGAGGAGGCCATGGCTTGCCCCGACGCCCCACTCTGGCTCGCCGCCATTATCAAGGAGCTGGAGGCCTTTGTCGCCAACTCCCCCTTTGTTGAAGGGGAAGTGGGTGTTTCGCGTCAAACAACTGCCAGGGGAGCCGCCCGTCTACAAGGCTCGTTACTGCGCCAAGGGGTTCACGCAGCGGTATGGTTTTGACTTCTTCGATACCTTCTCCCCCACTGCCAAGCCCGCTACTGTTCGCGCCGTGCTCGACCTCGCCGCTCGCCTCAATATGGAGATCCACTCGATGGACGTCTCTAACGCCTTCCTCCAAGGCGTCCTCCGCGAGCTTATCTACATGGAGCGTCCTGCCGGTTTTCACCTTCCCTTCCCTGCGGACTCTGTCTGGCAGCTGCGTCGCCCTGTGTATGGGCTCCGACAGGCCCCGAGGGAGTGGCATGCTAAGCTTGCCGCCACCCTTGCTGAACTTGGATTCCGCACCTCCCGTTCTGACGCCAGCCTCTTCCTCCGCGCCTCCCCCTCCCCCTTCTACATCCTTGTCTATGTCGATGACATGATTCTACTCACTGCCGACCTCAGCGAGTTGGAGCGTGTTAAGGCTGAGTTGGGCAGCCGTCTCAAGTGCAAGGACTTGGGCGAATTGCAGCATTACCTGGGCATGACAATCACCCGCGATCGCTCCGCCCGCACCATCTCTCTCTCCCAGGGTCATTACTTGCAGCAGGTCTTGGAGCGGTTTGACATGGTCCGCGGCGGCGCCCAACCTACTCCTCTTTCTGTCGGGCACCACCTCTCTCCACCCACCTCCCCCTCAGCCTCCTCCCATCCTTATCCCGAGCTCATCGGCTCCCTCATGTACGCCATGGTCTCCACTCGCCCTGACCTTGCCTACCCCATCAGCGTCCTCGCTCGTTTTGTTGGCGCAGGCAAGCATACGGAAGAGCACTGGCAGGCCGCCAAGCGTGTCCTCCGGTACCTTCGTGGCACCAAGGACTATGTCCTTACCCTCGGCGGCCCCTCCCCACCTACCCTCAGCGGCTACAGTGACTCCTCCTGGGCTGATTCCCAGCCAGATCGTCGCTCCTCCCAGGGCTATGGCTTCTCTCTTGGCAGCGGCCTTATCAGCTGGCGCTCCACCCGCTCCTCGGCTGTCGCCCTCTCCTCCTGCGAGGCGGAGTTGTATGCCGCCACCATGGCTGCGCAAGAGGCCCGCTGGCTCACCTTCCTCCTTGAGGAACTTGGTGCCCCCCAGCGCTGTCCCACCATTTGGTGTGACAATGCCAGTACCATTCACCTCACCAAAGATGCCGTGTTTCACGGGCGTTCCAAGCACATTGAGCTCCGTCATTTCTTCATTCGCGATCTTGTTCAGGCGGGGCACCTTCGGCTCGACAAGGTTGACTCGGCGGCCAACCTTGCCGACATCTTCACAAAAGCTCTTCCTCATGTCGCTCACTCTTTCCTACTTCGTCTTCTTGGCCTCACTCCTCCTAAGTCGCCTCCCGCCTCTTGATTCTAGCCTTCTAGCCTTATGCATGTTGGGGGGTTGTGTTGTAATTTCATAATTTGTACAACATACATAGGCTAGAATTAGATCTGTAGTACACTTATAAATTGGGGGGTTGTTTAGTGTACCCTCCAACCACATTTTGTGGTTGGTTGGGATTGGTCCCTAGCTCAACCAATCCCAACCAACACACATTTGTGGTTGCTTGGGTCACAAGCAAGCTCACCCATTGGCCAACTTATTGGCCAATAGGGTAAGCTTCCCTTTCATCTCTCTCTTGCTCATTGTTTGTACTAAAGGGCCTCTTGGCTCATTATTCAATGTATCTCTTCTAGCTTTTCAACAAGTGAGGCAAGGAAGAGAGGGTAGTGAGGCAAGGAAGAGAGGGTAGTGAGGCAAGGAAGAGAGGGTAGTGAGGCAAGGAAGAGAGGGTAGAGAGGCAAGGCAGAGAGGGTAGTGAGGCAAGGAAGAGAGGGTAGTGAGGCAAGGCAGAGAGGGTAGTGAGGCAAGGCAGAGAGGGTAATGAGGCAAGGCAGAGAGGGTAGTGAGGCAAGGCAGAGAGGGTAGTGAGGCAAGGCAGAGAGGGTAGTGAGGCAAGGCAGAGAGGGTAGTGAGGCAAGGCAGAGAGGGTAGTGAGGCAAGGAAGAGAGGGTAGTGAGGCAAGGAAGAGAGGGTAGTGAGGCAAGGAAGAGAGGGTAGTGAGGCAAGGAAGAGAGGGTAGTGAGGCAAGGAAGAGAGGGTAGTGAGGCAAGGAAGAGAGGGTAGTGAGGCAAGGAAGAGAGGGTAGTGAGGCAAGAGAGGGTAGTGAGGCAAGGAAGAGAGGGTAGTGAGGCAAGGAAGAGAGGGTAGTGAGGCAAGGAAGAGAGGGTAGTGAGTGCAAGGAAGAGAGGGTAGTGAGTGCACACAACTCCATGGGAAGTCTTCACTACATTTTGAGTCGACTCAAAGTCAGCTCCACGGGAAGTCCATGGGAAGTCCATGGGAAGTCTTCACTACACCTGTTTCACTACACCTGTTTCACTACACCTGTTTCACTACACCTGTTTCACCACACCTGTTTCACCACACCTGTTTCACCACACCTGTTTCACCACACCTGTTTCACCACACCTGTTTCACCACACCTGTTTCACCACACCTGTTTCACCACACCTGTTTCACCACACCTGTTTCACCACACCTGTTTCACCACACCTGTTTCACCACACCTGTTTCACCACACCTGTTTCACCACACCTGTTTCACCACACCTGTTTCACCACCATCTAGCTGCACCAGCAGAGCACCCGTATCACTCCCTTGAGCTCCACCAGCTCCTTCAACTCCTCTCACCCCTTTCATTCACCATCATCACATCTCTCAATTCAAAATCATCACATCTCTCAACTCAAAATTATCACATCGCTCAATTCAAAATTATCACATCTCTCAATTCAAAATTACCACATCTCTCAATTCAAAATTATCACATCTCTCAATTCAAAATTATCACATCTCTCAATTCAAAATTATCACATCTCTCAATTCAAAATCATCACATCTCTCAATTCAAAATCATCACATCTCTCGATTCAAAATTATCACATCTCTCAATTTACAATCATCACATCTCTCAATTCAGAATCATCACATCTCTCAATTCACAGTTATCACATCTCTCAATTCACCATTATCACATCCCTCCATTCGCAGTAGTCACACGAGTTCACTCACCAGGATGACAACCCTATCGATCTCCTCGGGCAGGCATAGCCAGGCGGAGCAGAGGCTCACCACAACACCATGCCACTCATCTCATGATGATGACTACCTTGGACTAGACTCACCATTCTCACATTTCGCCACTCACCAGGATCACATCCCTATCAATCTCCTCAGGCAGGCGCAGCCAGGCGGAGTAGAGCAGAGACTCATGCACGGTCACCTGGGGCGTGTGAATGTCCTCCTGCTCACAATACCCTGACACCCTCAGAAACGTCTCCTGCACTTTCGGGTACCCAGACACGCGGATATCCCCTTCAATGTACCCCCCAGTCTTCCTCCCTGCCAGCACGTCCATTAGCGTGGTCTTCCCTGCCCCAGACACCCCCATCAGGGCGGTCAGCACTCCGGGACGAAAGATGCCGGACACGTTGTGCAGCAGCTGCAGCCGCTGGCCGGGCGGCCCGGCCTTGTCTTTTAGCTCGGCGGGCATGTCGACATAGTAGTTGACGTTGTGGAAGGAGAGGGTGAGAGGATCAAAGGGGAGGACCATGCCATGCTGGCTTAAGTCCCCTCCACCTGAGACCCCAGAGGGCACACTGGACAGCCCAGTGGGCGCACTGGACAGCCCCGTGGGAACACTGGATAGCCCCGTGGGCACACTCAGTGGTGCAACTGAATGTAACTCATCGTCCCTTTCCAGGCTGTCGTTTCTTGTCAAAACCTTTCTACGCGGCTGCTGTTTCTCTCTGCTTTCCATGCTGCTTGCAGCAGTGATCCCCCCACCATCACTCGCACCGTCCCCATCACTCATAAATGACACGGCTTTCCCCTGACTCTGTTTTTCCTCTCCGCTTTCTGTGCTCCCAACAGCTGTCACCGCCTCACCATCGCTCACACCATCATCCCCATAACTCAGGAATGACACTGCTTTCCTCTGCCGCTGTTTTCCCGCTCCGCCTCCAGTGCTCCCAACAGCAGTCACCCCCCCACCATCAGCTGCCCCAACCCCATCACTCAGAAACGAAACCGCTTTCCTTGGCAGCGGTGGCTTGCCTCCCCTGGACCCTGAGCTGCTAACAGCAGTGACACCCGTTCGCTCACCACCACCACCACCACCACCAGTGCCACCAGTGTCACCACCAGCACCACCAGCAGCACCAGCAGCAGCAGCAGCAGCAGCAGCAGCAGCAGCAGCAGCAGCAGCAGCAGCAGCAGCAGCAGCAGCAGCACCAGGGGCAGCACCAGCAGTACTAGCCTGTCTCCACGACATCCCCCACGGCACACTCATGGCACAGAGGAATGAGCTATGAGAGCAGGGAAGAGAGAGGAGAGAAAAGAGGGAGCCGAGGAATGAGGAGAGATAGAGGGACAAATGAGCTATGAGAGCAGGGAAGAGAGAGGAGAGAAAAGAGGGAGCCGAGGAATGAGGAGAGATAGAGGGACGAATGAGCTATGAGAGCAGGGAAGAGAGAGGAGAGAAAAGAGGGAGCCGAGGAATGAGGAGAGATAGAGGGACGAATGAGCTATGAGAGCAGGGAAGAGAGAGGAGAGAAAAGAGGGAGCCGAGGAATGAGGAGAGATAGAGGGACAAATGAGCTATGAGAGCAGGGGAAGAGAGAGGAGAGAAAAGAGGGAGCCGAGGAATGAGGAGAGATAGAGGGACAAATGAGCTATGAGAGCAGGGAAGAGAGAGGAGAGAAGAGAGGGAGCCGAGGAATGAGGAGAGATAGAGGGACAAATGAGCTATGAGAGCAGGGAATAGAGAGGAGAGAAAAGAGGGAGCCGAGGAATGAGGAGAGATAGAGGGACAAATGAGCTATGAGAGCAGGGAAGAGAGAGGAGAGAAAAGAGGGAGCCGAGGAATGAGGAGAGATAGAGGGACAAATGAGCTATGAGAGCAGGGAAGAGAGAGGAGAGAAGAGAGGGAGCCGAGGAATGAGGAGAGATAGAGGGACAAATGAGCTATGAGAGCAGGGAATAGAGAGGAGAGAAAAGAGGGAGCCGAGGAATGAGGAGAGATAGAGGGACAAATGAGCTATGAGAGCAGGGAAGAGAGAGGAGAGAAAAGAGGGAGCCGAGGAATCAGGAGAGATAGAGGGACAAATGAGCTATGAGAGCAGGGAAGAGAGAGGAGAGAAAAGAGGGAGCCGAGGAATGAGGAGAGATAGAGGGACAAATGAGCTATGAGAGCAGGGAAGAGAGAGGAGAGAAAAGAGGGAGCCGAGGAATGAGGAGAGATAGAGGGACAAATGAGCTATGAGAGCAGGGAAGAGAGAGGAGAGAAGAGAGGGAGCCGAGGAATGAGGAGAGATAGAGGGACAAATGAGCTATGAGAGCAGGGAATAGAGAGGAGAGAAAAGAGGGAGCCGAGGAATGAGGAGAGATAGAGGGACAAATGAGCTATGAGAGCAGGGAAGAGAGAGGAGAGAAAAGAGGGAGCCGAGGAATGAGGAGAGATAGAGGGACAAATGAGCTATGAGAGCAGGGAAGAGAGAGGAGAGAAAAGAGGGAGCCGAGGAATGAGGAGAGATAGAGGGACAAATGAGCTATGAGAGCAGGGAAGAGAGAGGAGAGAAAAGAGGGAGCCGAGGAATGAGGAGAGATAGAGGGACAAATGAGCTATGAGAGCAGGGAAGAGAGAGGAGAGAAAAGAGGGAGCCGAGGAATGAGGAGAGATAGAGGGACGAATGAGCTATGAGAGCAGGGAAGAGAGAGGAGAGAAAAGAGGGAGCCGAGGAATGAGGAGAGATAGAGGGACGAATGAGCTATGAGAGCAGGGAAGAGAGAGGAGAGCAAAGAGGGAGCCGAGGAATGAGGAGAGATAGAGGGACAAATGAGCTATGAGAGCAGGGAAGAGAGAGGAGAGAAAAGAGGGAGCCGAGGAATGAGGAGAGATAGAGGGACAAATGAGCTATGAGAGCAGGGAAGAGAGAGGAGAGAAAAGAGGGAGCCGAGGAATGAGGAGAGATAGAGGGACAAATGAGCTATGAGAGCAGGGAAGAGAGAGGAGAGAAAAGAGGGAGCCGAGGAATGAGGAGAGATAGAGGGACAAATGAGCTATGAGAGCAGGGAAGAGAGAGGAGAGAAAAGAGGGAGCCGAGGAATGAGGAGAGATAGAGGGACAAATGAGCTATGAGAGCAGGGAAGAGAGAGGAGAGAAAAGAGGGAGCCGAGGAATGAGGAGAGATGTTGAGGCAAGTGAACCACACCCGTGGCATGGCAAAGCACGGCGCATACCACATCCCATCTGGGGGCGAAAAAGGCGTTCAGACAGTAGGCGAGGCCGGGGGCCATACACCCACGCCCACCACTTCACACCACACCACACCACTCCATACCTTGAGGTACCATGGCAGAGCACAGCACAGCACGTACCACATCCCATCTGGGGGCGAGGAGCTCATTAGTAGAGAAGGCGTTCAGACAGTATGTGAGGGGCGACATCCAATACACCCACACCCACACGCTGTGAATGTCAGCTGCAAGGAGCAAAGAGGGATGAGAGAGAGAACATGGGACAAGAGAACATTGGATGGGATGAGAGAGCAGTGGGAGAGGGGTGAGATCCAATACACCCACACCCACACGCTGTGGATGTCAGCTGCAGGGGGGAGGGAATGGAGCAGGTAGACGGGGGCACAGGTAAGCCAGGGTAGGATGAGGATGGGATGAGGGGGCAGCACGTGAGGGGCGAGATCCAATACACCCACACCCACACGTCGTGGATGTCGTCTGCAAGGGGCAAAAAGGAGGGGGCATGGAACAGTAGATCATGGGATGGGATGAGAGAGCAGCATGTGAGGGGAGACTCCCAGCACACCCGCACGCCATGGATGTAGGCTGTAGGGGGGTGGCACGAATAGGTGATCGAGGGTGTGAGGATGGGGGTTTGGTGGAGGATGGGATGTGGGGGCAGCAGGATGTGAGGGGCGAAGTCCAGTTCACCCACACCCACACCCACACCCACACCCACACCTTTGGTGACGATGAATCCAGACGGCAGGAAGAGGAGCATGATGAAGCTGACAACAGCAGCAGCAGCAGCAGCAGCAGCAGCAGCAGCAGCAGCAGCAGCAGCAGCAGCAGCAGCAGCAGCAGCAGCAGCAGCAGCAGCAGCAGCAGCAGCAGCAGCAGCAGCAGCAGCAGCAGCAGCAGCAGCAGCAGCAGCAGCAGCAGCAGCAGCAGCAGCAGCAGCGGCAGCAGCAGCAGCAGCAGCGGCAGCAGCAGCAGCAGCAACATCTCCACCCACCAAAAGTTCCCAAGAGTGCTGACGAGCGTGGCGGCGGAACGATGAAAGTCTGGTGGTTTAAGCCGACTCCTAAGATACCTTTGGTGACAATGAAGCCAGGCGGCAGGACGAGTGTCGTGTGCCATTGTAACGAGGTGACTTTTGAGTCGACTCAAAAGGCACCTGAGTTACCTTTGGTGACATGACAATGAAGCCAGGCGGCAGGACGAGTGTCGTGTGCCATTGTAACGAGGTGACTTTTGAGTCGACTCAAAAGGCACCTGAGTTACCTTTGGTGACATGACAATGAAGCCAGGCGGCAGGACGAGTGTCGTGTGCCATTGTAACGAGGTGACTTTTGAGTCGACTCAAAAGTCACCTAAGTTACCTTTGGTGACATGACAATGAACCCAGGCCGCAGGAAGAGGAGCTGATGATGAAGCTGACAACTCTTACACGAAACAGGTGGTAGGCGTGGACCTGGGACGTACGTACCTATATACGTAGGTAACTTTAGAAAGCACAAGCACATACCTTTGGTGACGACGAATCCAGAGAGCAGAAAGAGCAGCACGATGATAGTTTTTCCAAGAGTGTTGATGAGATGAGGGTGGTGCTACAAAAGGACTTTTGAGCCGACTCAGAGGTTACCTTTGGTGACGATGAATCCAGAGAGCAGAAAGAGCAGCACGATGATAGTTTTTCCAAGAGTGTTGATGAGATGAGGGTGGCGCTACAAAAGGACTTTTGAGCCGACTCAGAGGTTACCTTTGGTGACGATGAATCCAGAGAGCAGAAAGAGCAGCACGATGATAGTTTTTCCAAGAGTGTTGATGAGATGAGGGTGGCGCTACAAAAGGACTTTTGAGCCGACTCAGAGGTTACCTTTGGTGACGATGAATCCAGAGAGCAGGAAGAGCAGCACGATGATAGTTTTTCCAAGAGTGTTGATGAGATGAGGGCGGCGCTACAAAAGGACTTTTGAGCCGACTCAGAGGTTACCTTTGGTGACGATGAATCCAGAGAGCAGGAAGAGCAGCACGATGATAGTTTTTCCAAGAGTGTTGATGAGATGAGGGCGGCGCTACAAAAGGACTTTTGAGCCGACTCAGAGGTTACCTTTGGTGACGATGAATCCAGAGAGCAGGAAGAGCAGCACGATGATAGTTTTTCCAAGAGTGTTGATGAGATGAGGGTGGCGCTACAAAAGGACTTTTGAGCCGACTCAGAGGTTACCTTTGGTGACGATGAATCCAGAGAGCAGGAAGAGCAGCACGATGATGAAGTTGCCAAGCGTGTTGATGAGGTTGGTGCTGCGAAAGATGGTTCCCATGGCTCGGTAGAACGCAGATCCGGCCATGTGGGTGACGAAGAAGAGCAGCAGCTGGATGATGAAGCTGCGAGGGGGGCGAGAGAGGGGGGTAGGGGGGAAGGGGAGGCGCCTCAAAGTGGAAGTAAAAGATGGTTCCCATGGCTTGACAGAACGCAGATCCGGCCATGTGGGTGACGAAGAAGAGCAGCATCTGGATAATGAAGCTGCGTTGGGGAGGGGGGGAGAGGGGGGTAGAGGGGAAGGGGAGGCGAGAGGGAAGGGGGAGGGGGGAGAGGGGGGGTAGAGAGGGTGGGTGGGCGTGGGTGGTGTGGGCGTGGGTGGTGTGGGCGTGGGTGGTGTGGGCGAAAGGGAAGCAGCTGGATAATGAAGCTGCAAGGGGAGGAGAGAAGGGGTGGCAAAAGTGATGGGAGGAAGGGATGGGGGGGAGAAGTGGGGGAGGCGCCTCTAGACCTGGAAAATGGATTCTGTGGTAGAAGGCAGAGACAGGCATGGGAGTGACGACGAAGAGAAGCAGCTTCGATGCGTCCCACCGCGCCCTCCTACTCGCACCGGCTCAAAAGCAGCCGGGTGCGGCCGGGTATAGGTCACGCGCTTGAGCGCCATCCATTTTCGGGGCTAATTGATTCGGCAGGTGAGTTGTTACACACTCCTTAGCGGATTTCGACTTCCATGACCACCGTCCTGCTGTCTTAATCAATCAACACCCTTTGTGGGATCTAGGTTAGCGCGTAGTTAGGCACCGTAACCCGGCTTTCGGTTCAACCCACCTCGCCAGTTCTGCTTACCAAAAATGGCCCACTTGGCACTCATGTTGGTGGGGTCAGCCAGCACCCCTGAAAGCCAGCCACAATTAAGATGGCGGCCCTCCTCGCCCGTTTAAAGTTTGAGAGTCGGTCGAGGGAGCTTCTCCCCCGAGCCCGCCAATCATTCGCTTTACCAGACGTAACCACGTATCGAGCACCAGCTATCCTGAGGGAAACTTCGGAGGGAACCAGCTACCAGATGGTTCGATTAGTCTTTCGCCCCTATACCCAAGTCTGACGAACGATTTGCACGTCAGTAGCGCTGCGGGCCTCCACCAGAGTTTCCTCTGGCTTCGCCCTGCTCTGGCTACCAGATGGTTCGATTAGTCTTTCGGGTCCCAACGCGACTACTCAACGCACCCCGGGCGCCGAGGCCCCCGGGGCGGTCCGTGGTGCGGGCAGCACGAGGCCGCCTTCTCACGGGTCGCTTTCACTGTCGCCATTGTGGTTTTCAACCCATTGGCTCGCAGCCGCGTTGGCCTCCTTGGTCCGTGTTTCAAGACGGGTCGCATCAGCCCGTTTCGCCAGCGCCGACCCGTGAGGGCCATCCTCGGTCTCCGCCGCGGTGGGAGCGAGCTCCTTTTCCCGCGGCCTCGACCGGCGCTGCGTACCTCCGGGCCCCGCGTGAACGGGTCCCGCAGGTTTGCTTGGGCTCATGCGCTTATCCTCCTGACGATTTCAAGCACTTTTTACTCTCTTTCCAAAGTTCTTTTCATCTTTCCCTCGCGGTACTTGTTCGCTATCGGAAACCTGGCCGTATTTAGCCTTGGATGGAGCTTACCACCCATGTTGGGGCTGCACTCCCAAGCAACCCGACTCTTCGGATGCGCCTCGTGAAGTGACGGGTCGTCGTCCGACGGGGATGCCATAGTAGGTGATGGCGGTTTAGACCCCAGCGGACCAGAGAGAGACGGGCAGAGAGAGTAGCGCCATGGGCACCGACCACGCCCAGCCAGGGAAGAGCAGGTTGTCCCTTTGGAGGAAGTAGATGGGCAGGCGAGCCGTCAGGAGCGTGAGCTCGATTATGCCGCTGAACAGCATTGTGACTATACCGAAGAAGATTGCGCCAAGGTAGAAATTGCCGTCCAGAGGGGTGATGGAGAATTGGGAGCGCCAGAAGACAGTCATTGTGACTATAGCGAGGGGGAGGATCTGCCAGAGAGGGGTTGGAGGGAGTGGAAAGGGGTGAAAGGATGTGGAAAGGAAGGGTGAAAGGATGTCGGAAGGAAGGGTGAAAGGATGTGAGCAGGAAGGGTGAAAGGATGTGAGAAGGAAGGGTGAAAGGATGTGAGAAGGAAGGGTGAAAGGATGTGGGGATGAGGAGGAAAGAGAAGATGCGGGGAATAAGAGGCAAGGAGACACCGGATGATGTGACGAGGGATGTGCGACGAGGGATGTGCGACGAGGGATGTGCGACGAGGGATGTGCGACGAGGGATGTGCGACGAGGGATGTGCGACGAGGGATGTGCGACGAGGGATGTGCGACGAGGGATGTGCGACGAGGGATGTGCGACGAGGGATGTGCGACGAGGGATGTGCGACGAGGGATGTGCGACGAGGGATGTGCGACGAGGGATGTGCGACGAGGGATGTGCGACGAGGGATGTGCGACGAGGGATGTGCGACGAGGGATGTGCGACGAGGGATGTGCGACGAGGGATGTGCGACGAGGGATGTGCGACGAGGGATGTGCGACGAGGGATGTGCGACGAGGGATGTGCGACGAGGGATGTGCGACGAGGGATGTGCGACGAGGGATGTGCGACGAGGGATGTGCGACGAGGGATGTGCGACGAGGGATGTGCGACGAGGGATGTGCGACGAGGGATGTGCGACGAGGGATGTGCGACGAGGGATGTGCGACGAGGGATGTGCGACGAGGGATGTGCGACGAGGGATGTGCGACGAGGGATGTGCGACGAGGGATGTGCGACGAGGGATGTGCGACGAGGGATGTGCGACGAGGGATGTGCGACGAGGGATGTGCGACGAGGGATGTGCGACGAGGGATGTGCGACGAGGGATGTGCGACGAGGGATGTGCGACGAGGGATGTGCGACGAGGGATGTGCGACGAGGGATGTGCGACGAGGGATGTGCGACGAGGGATGTGCGACGAGGGATGTGCGACGAGGGATGTGCGACGAGGGATGTGCGACGAGGGATGTGCGACGAGGGATGTGCGACGAGGGATGTGCGACGAGGGATGTGCGACGAGGGATGTGCGACGAGGGATGTGCGACGAGGGATGTGCGACGAGGGATGTGCGACGAGGGATGTGCGACGAGGGATGTGCGACGAGGGATGTGCGACGAGGGATGTGCGACGAGGGATGTGCGACGAGGGATGTGCGACGAGGGATGTGCGACGAGGGATGTGCGACGAGGGATGTGCGACGAGGGATGTGCGACGAGGGATGTGCGACGAGGGATGTGCGACGAGGGATGTGCGACGAGGGATGTGCGACGAGGGATGTGCGACGAGGGATGTGCGACGAGGGATGTGCGACGAGGGATGTGCGACGAGGGATGTGCGACGAGGGATGTGCGACGAGGGATGTGCGACGAGGGATGTGCGACGAGGGATGTGCGACGAGGGATGTGCGACGAGGGATGTGCGACGAGGGATGTGCGACGAGGGATGTGCGACGAGGGATGTGCGACGAGGGATGTGCGACGAGGGATGTGCGACGAGGGATGTGCGACGAGGGATGTGCGACGAGGGATGTGCGACGAGGGATGTGCGACGAGGGATGTGCGACGAGGGATGTGCGACGAGGGATGTGCGACGAGGGATGTGCGACGAGGGATGTGCGACGAGGGATGTGCGACGAGGGATGTGCGACGAGGGATGTGCGACGAGGGATGTGCGACGAGGGATGTGCGACGAGGGATGTGCGACGAGGGATGTGCGACGAGGGATGTGCGACGAGGGATGTGCGACGAGGGATGTGCGACGAGGGATGTGCGACGAGGGATGTGCGACGAGGGATGTGCGACGAGGGATGTGCGACGAGGGATGTGCGACGAGGGATGTGCGACGAGGGATGTGCGACGAGGGATGTGCGACGAGGGATGTGCGACGAGGGATGTGCGACGAGGGATGTGCGACGAGGGATGTGCGACGAGGGATGTGCGACGAGGGATGTGCGACGAGGGATGTGCGACGAGGGATGTGCGACGAGGGATGTGCGACGAGGGATGTGCGACGAGGGATGTGCGACGAGGGATGTGCGACGAGGGATGTGCGACGAGGGATGTGCGACGAGGGATGTGCGACGAGGGATGTGCGACGAGGGATGTGCGACGAGGGATGTGCGACGAGGGATGTGCGACGAGGGATGTGCGACGAGGGATGTGCGACGAGGGATGTGCGACGAGGGATGTGCGACGAGGGATGTGCGACGAGGGATGTGCGACGAGGGATGTGCGACGAGGGATGTGCGACGAGGGATGTGCGACGAGGGATGTGCGACGAGGGATGTGCGACGAGGGATGTGCGACGAGGGATGTGCGACGAGGGATGTGCGACGAGGGATGTGCGACGAGGGATGTGCGACGAGGGATGTGCGACGAGGGATGTGCGACGAGGGATGTGCGACGAGGGATGTGCGACGAGGGATGTGCGACGAGGGATGTGCGACGAGGGATGTGCGACGAGGGATGTGCGACGAGGGATGTGCGACGAGGGATGTGCGACGAGGGATGTGCGACGAGGGATGTGCGACGAGGGATGTGCGACGAGGGATGTGCGACGAGGGATGTGCGACGAGGGATGTGCGACGAGGGATGTGCGACGAGGGATGTGCGACGAGGGATGTGCGACGAGGGATGTGCGACGAGGGATGTGCGACGAGGGATGTGCGACGAGGGATGTGCGACGAGGGATGTGCGACGAGGGATGTGCGACGAGGGATGTGCGACGAGGGATGTGCGACGAGGGATGTGCGACGAGGGATGTGCGACGAGGGATGTGCGACGAGGGATGTGCGACGAGGGATGTGCGACGAGGGATGTGCGACGAGGGATGTGCGACGAGGGATGTGCGACGAGGGATGTGCGACGAGGGATGTGCGACGAGGGATGTGCGACGAGGGATGTGCGACGAGGGATGTGCGACGAGGGATGTGCGACGAGGGATGTGCGACGAGGGATGTGCGACGAGGGATGTGCGACGAGGGATGTGCGACGAGGGATGTGCGACGAGGGATGTGCGACGAGGGATGTGCGACGAGGGATGTGCGACGAGGGATGTGCGACGAGGGATGTGCGACGAGGGATGTGCGACGAGGGATGTGCGACGAGGGATGTGCGACGAGGGATGTGCGACGAGGGATGTGCGACGAGGGATGTGCGACGAGGGATGTGCGACGAGGGATGTGCGACGAGGGATGTGCGACGAGGGATGTGCGACGAGGGATGTGCGACGAGGGATGTGCGACGAGGGATGTGCGACGAGGGATGTGCGACGAGGGATGTGCGACGAGGGATGTGCGACGAGGGATGTGCGACGAGGGATGTGCGACGAGGGATGTGCGACGAGGGATGTGCGACGAGGGATGTGCGACGAGGGATGTGCGACGAGGGATGTGCGACGAGGGATGTGCGACGAGGGATGTGCGACGAGGGATGTGCGACGAGGGATGTGCGACGAGGGATGTGCGACGAGGGATGTGCGACGAGGGATGTGCGACGAGGGATGTGCGACGAGGGATGTGCGACGAGGGATGTGCGACGAGGGATGTGCGACGAGGGATGTGCGACGAGGGATGTGCGACGAGGGATGTGCGACGAGGGATGTGCGACGAGGGATGTGCGACGAGGGATGTGCGACGAGGGATGTGCGACGAGGGATGTGCGACGAGGGATGTGCGACGAGGGATGTGCGACGAGGGATGTGCGACGAGGGATGTGCGACGAGGGATGTGCGACGAGGGATGTGCGACGAGGGATGTGCGACGAGGGATGTGCGACGAGGGATGTGCGACGAGGGATGTGCGACGAGGGATGTGCGACGAGGGATGTGCGACGAGGGATGTGCGACGAGGGATGTGCGACGAGGGATGTGCGACGAGGGATGTGCGACGAGGGATGTGCGACGAGGGATGTGCGACGAGGGATGTGCGACGAGGGATGTGCGACGAGGGATGTGCGACGAGGGATGTGCGACGAGGGATGTGCGACGAGGGATGTGCGACGAGGGATGTGCGACGAGGGATGTGCGACGAGGGATGTGCGACGAGGGATGTGCGACGAGGGATGTGCGACGAGGGATGTGCGACGAGGGATGTGCGACGAGGGATGTGCGACGAGGGATGTGCGACGAGGGATGTGCGACGAGGGATGTGCGACGAGGGATGTGCGACGAGGGATGTGCGACGAGGGATGTGCGACGAGGGATGTGCGACGAGGGATGTGCGACGAGGGATGTGCGACGAGGGATGTGCGACGAGGGATGTGCGACGAGGGATGTGCGACGAGGGATGTGCGACGAGGGATGTGCGACGAGGGATGTGCGACGAGGGATGTGCGACGAGGGATGTGCGACGAGGGATGTGCGACGAGGGATGTGCGACGAGGGATGTGCGACGAGGGATGTGCGACGAGGGATGTGCGACGAGGGATGTGCGACGAGGGATGTGCGACGAGGGATGTGCGACGAGGGATGTGCGACGAGGGATGTGCGACGAGGGATGTGCGACGAGGGATGTGCGACGAGGGATGTGCGACGAGGGATGTGCGACGAGGGATGTGCGACGAGGGATGTGCGACGAGGGATGTGCGACGAGGGATGTGCGACGAGGGATGTGCGACGAGGGATGTGCGACGAGGGATGTGCGACGAGGGATGTGCGACGAGGGATGTGCGACGAGGGATGTGCGACGAGGGATGTGCGACGAGGGATGTGCGACGAGGGATGTGCGACGAGGGATGTGCGACGAGGGATGTGCGACGAGGGATGTGCGACGAGGGATGTGCGACGAGGGATGTGCGACGAGGGATGTGCGACGAGGGATGTGCGACGAGGGATGTGCGACGAGGGATGTGCGACGAGGGATGTGCGACGAGGGATGTGCGACGAGGGATGTGCGACGAGGGATGTGCGACGAGGGATGTGCGACGAGGGATGTGCGACGAGGGATGTGCGACGAGGGATGTGCGACGAGGGATGTGCGACGAGGGATGTGCGACGAGGGATGTGCGACGAGGGATGTGCGACGAGGGATGTGCGACGAGGGATGTGCGACGAGGGATGTGCGACGAGGGATGTGCGACGAGGGATGTGCGACGAGGGATGTGCGACGAGGGATGTGCGACGAGGGATGTGCGACGAGGGATGTGCGACGAGGGATGTGCGACGAGGGATGTGCGACGAGGGATGTGCGACGAGGGATGTGCGACGAGGGATGTGCGACGAGGGATGTGCGACGAGGGATGTGCGACGAGGGATGTGCGACGAGGGATGTGCGACGAGGGATGTGCGACGAGGGATGTGCGACGAGGGATGTGCGACGAGGGATGTGCGACGAGGGATGTGCGACGAGGGATGTGCGACGAGGGATGTGCGACGAGGGATGTGCGACGAGGGATGTGCGACGAGGGATGTGCGACGAGGGATGTGCGACGAGGGATGTGCGACGAGGGATGTGCGACGAGGGATGTGCGACGAGGGATGTGCGACGAGGGATGTGCGACGAGGGATGTGCGACGAGGGATGTGCGACGAGGGATGTGCGACGAGGGATGTGCGACGAGGGATGTGCGACGAGGGATGTGCGACGAGGGATGTGCGACGAGGGATGTGCGACGAGGGATGTGCGACGAGGGATGTGCGACGAGGGATGTGCGACGAGGGATGTGCGACGAGGGATGTGCGACGAGGGATGTGCGACGAGGGATGTGCGACGAGGGATGTGCGACGAGGGATGTGCGACGAGGGATGTGCGACGAGGGATGTGCGACGAGGGATGTGCGACGAGGGATGTGCGACGAGGGATGTGCGACGAGGGATGTGCGACGAGGGATGTGCGACGAGGGATGTGCGACGAGGGATGTGCGACGAGGGATGTGCGACGAGGGATGTGCGACGAGGGATGTGCGACGAGGGATGTGCGACGAGGGATGTGCGACGAGGGATGTGCGACGAGGGATGTGCGACGAGGGATGTGTGACAAGGGATGTCAATGCAGATCTGGAAAGTGATGCATTTAAATCCCTTGTCACACATCTGGATGTGTGACAAGGGATGTGTGACAAGGGATGTGTGACAAGGGATGTGTGACAAGGGATGTGTGACAAGGGATGTGTGACAAGGGATGTGTGACAAGGGATGTGTGACAAGGGATGTGTGACAAGGGATGTGTGACAAGGGATGTGTGACAAGGGATGTGTGACAAGGGATGTGTGACAAGGGATGTGTGACAAGGGATGTGTGACAAGGGATGTGTGACAAGGGATGTGTGACAAGGGATGTGTGACAAGGGATGTGTGACAAGGGATGTGTGACAAGGGATGTGTGACAAGGGATGTGTGACAAGGGATGTGTGACAAGGGATGTGCGACAAGGGATGTGTGACAAGGGACGTCAATGCAGATCTGGAAAGTGATGCATTTAAATCCCTTGTCACACATCTGGATGTGTGACAAGGGATGTGTGACAAGGGATGTAAATGCAGATCTGGAAAATGATGCATTTAAATCCCTTCTCACAAGGGATGTCTGGACTGGAAAAGGGCGGAGGGTTGGGTTGGGTTGGGTTGGGGAGGATGTAACGAGCTTTTGATCTGAACCTGGAAGGTCTGCATGATGTAGCGGAAAAGACTTCACCGATCACTATCACTGTAACGAGAATCTGCTGTACCTGCAAGGTCTGCACGAGATTTGAGATCTGCACCACCTGGCTGGACCTGCACCAACCGGCACCAACCGGCACCAACCGGCACCAACCGGCACCAACCAGCTGTACGTGAGAAAGAGGTACCTGGAAGGTCTGCACGATGTAGAGGAAGAGATTCCTCTTCATCAGCAGCACGTGAGACGGTCAGGGGCAACATGCATGTGCAACAGGCCAAGCTGCATCTGTAACAACATGCACCAACCGGCTGTACCTGGAAGGTCTGCACGATGTAGAGGAAGAGATTCCTCTTCATCAGCATCCACTCGCGGTCCGCAAGAATGGTGAGCATAGCAAGTGGAGGGAGAGCAAACCGCCTCTGCGCCAGAGCAAGACCCGCACTCTCGCCTCCTCTGCCTGCCGTCCCCTCCTCTCCCCCGTTTTCCACGTCTTTCCCATCCCCCTCTCCCTCAATTGCGGCCCGATCCTTCTTGAATGGAATGGAGAGCTCTGCTTCCATCTGCTTGCCGAACCTGGAGGCTCGGAAGGCCTCCTCGAAGGCTCGGATGGACATGTAGCGGTACGGGTGGGGCTGAGAGGGGAGCCAGTACTGCTCCTGGTCTTTTAGCGAGGTGACCTGTAGGGGGTATGGGATGGGGCACCAGAAAGGCGGGTGGGGAAAAAAGAAAAAGGAAAGGAGGTGGAAAGGAAATACCTTAACAGGTAAGAAGAAGAACAGAAACGAATCGCTCCCTGGGTGACACTGAAGAGTCTTTCAAATAATTTACTAGATTACGGATTCGAATACAGAAAAGGTGTACACTATTTACACCATCCGACCTGATCAGAAACTGTTCTACTTTTACCTAAAAGTGTAGCCAGATTTGCTTTGACTTCCTGACTTTCCAGTCAACTCAACTGCGAGGCAGCACGGGAAACACACACATCCCATCCCATGCAGGCAAGCAGCAGTCAAATCAACTGAGAGGCAACACGGCACACACATCCCATCCCATGCAAGCGGCACTCGAAACGCACCTCTTGCAGAAAATCAGCCACTCCCTTGCGGGCGGGCGGCGCAAACCCCATTTCCCGGAAGAATCCCAGCACCTCCTCCCTGGGCCCATGGTACACAATCCGCCCCTCTGACATCAGCATGACGTCATCAAACAGCTCAAAGGTTTCGGGCGCCGGTTGCAGCAGGGAGATGAGGGTGGTGGTATTAGTTAAGTGCGTGAGGTTGCACAGGCATCGGGTGATCTGGTAAGTGGTGGCGGAATCGAGACCGGTGGAGATCTCGTCCAATAGGAGCACTTGCTTCGCGCCTAGGAGTGCTTCGGCAGTGGTAACCCGCTTTTTCTGCCCGCCTGACACGCCTCGGCGCATGCTGTCTCCTACCATGGTATCAGCACACACGTCCAGGCCCAGCATCTGTGTGGGGATAGGGTGGGGAGCAACAATGGGTGGGTATAGGGTGGGGATAGGGTGGGGATAGGGTGGGGATAGGTTGGGGATAGGGTGGGGACAGGGTGGGAAGGAACAATTGGGGGGGATAGAGAGATGGAGAGGCATTTTTTATTGCCCAGAGATAATATATTTGAGTGGCAGTGGGGAGGGGAGTTGCGGGAGTGAGTGAGTGAGAAAGGAGCGAGGGTGGAATGGGGGGGTGGGAGTGAGTGAGTGAGGGAGGAAGGAGCGAGGGGGGAATGGGGGGAGGGGAGTGAGGGAGGAAGTGAGGTGGGGGCAAACGAGAAACGAGAGATCAAAAGCAAGAAGACACACACACACACGCACACACACACACACACACCACACACACACACACACACACACACACACCACACACACACACACACACACACACACGCGCGCGCGCATGCACACACGCTTGCAATCGCACGCACACTCGCACTCGCACATAAGTGCACGCACTCAAACCCTTTCCTGGTACCCCCCACCCCACCCCCCCACCCTCTCCCCCTTCCCCACCCTCACCCCACCCTCTCCCCACTCCCCCCCCCCCTTCCCCCAACACCCCCCACCCCCCACACTCTCTCACCTTCAGCACGTACTGCACGACAGCATGGGAGCACTGCCTCTCATCTGCCATCGCCTGAACACATCATTCATGATGGCACATGCAGCATTGGTGATGGCGCATGCAGCATTGGTGATGGCGCATGCAGCATTGGTGATGGCGCATGCAGCGGCATCAGTGATGGCACATGCAGCATTACCCAAGAGGAAAAGGGAGGAAAGTCGTGTGGAGGAGGGGAGATGAGTGTGAGGGTCTGAGATACGAGTGGGGGGAAAGAGACGAGTGGGGGGAAAGAAACGAGTGGGGGGAAAGAAACGAGTGGGGGGGGCAGAGACGAGTGGGGAGAGACAGCTACGGTGGGCGTGCCCTCGGGGAGATCTGTGAGCAGACCTCGGGGAGATCTGTGAGCAGCCCTCTGGGAGATCTGTGAGCAGACCTCGGGGAGATCTGTGAGCAGCCCTCTGGGAGATCTGTGAGCAGCCCTCGGGGGGCAGATCCCGAAGAGACAGCCCTCTGGGAGATCTGTGAGAAGGCTGTAAGGGAGGCAATGCATGCTCTGCGCGTGCAATCCATAGCAGAGCTGTGACGGTGACGGTGACTGTGACTCAAGTGTTGTATTGAGACGTCTCAAAACAGCACTTTAAACGCACGCAATCCATGGCATAGCTGTGACTGTGACTGTGACCACCCCCGTAACAACCCCATGACGTCATCTCTACCTTCATCACGGCCTGCATGACGTCATCAGGCGTGATGCCAGCCTCCCTCTCTTTCTCCTCCAGATGCTTAAATAGCTCTGCTTGAGGAACACGGGGATTGAGGGAGGAAGGAAGGCAGGCAAGGAGGCGGAGGGAGGGAGGGAGGGAGGGAGGGAGGGAGGGAGGGAGGGAGGGAGGGAGGGAGGGAGGGAGGGAGGGAGGGAGGGAGGGAGGGAGGGAGGGAGGGAGGGAGGGAGGATGGGAGGATGGGAGGATGGGAGGATGGGAGGATGGGAGGATGGGAGGATGGGAGGATGGGAGGATGGGGGCATGGAGGGTTCGACAAACCGTATGATCTAAAGGGAACAGCAGGCGAAAGCTCTAATGCACGTGCTCAGCGCCCTAACTTGAACCACACACGAGGAATCAACATAGCCCTTCCGAACACAGAAGGACTTGGAGAATGAGCACTACCCGCCCTGTAACCATCCTGTTACTTGGCGATAGTCTCTGGCCACTATGTAAGTTGACAGTTTTCAGCACTTAGTCTCTGGATTTGCAGTTGGATTTTCACTGGAATTGGTAATGACATTGCAAAACAGAACAAGCAATATATATCCAACCAATTTCAGCTATGTGCGACTCGTGTAACGCGTCCGCCACGTCTCGTATCGCGTCGCACGCGAAACAGCGTTGTAACCGGAACTGACACCGAAACTAGCGAACCGAAGTTACACCGATTACGGTGCGCTGTGGTCGCCCCAATTCCAGCCATGAATGTTCTCGACATTTCCTACACATCGCAACTAAGGGCGTGTGTGAATTTAATCGCAGTTCGAAAACGGGATCGAACCTAGTGTGGTAACCCGTTTCGCTCATGTTCGTGCAAGATTTCGCCTAGGCCGTGTTCACTCTGTCACGCACTAAACTAAAACTTCGAAAGGTGAACAAGACTCGAGGATATAAGCAAACGTGATTTTGCACGTTGTAGTGAACGTGTGTGGTTTCATGCACGTACGAGGAATGGGCAACTCTCGCTACACTTTCGTGCACCAATAGCGGCACGACCGAAACCACCAGCATACACCCTAAAGCAGATGCCGCCACGTGGATGTTGGACGGACGCGGGTGAGGCGAGGGGATGAGTTGGAAGTCTAGAGTGTACTTTTGGGGCACGCGATTCGTTGACGTGTCGCGCTGTCAAGATGCCGATACTGGGTAACCTACTCTTCCTAGTGGCGGTTCGGTTCCCCCCCTACAGGCTCGAACTTGCAGATTCGCACCTGCGCGTGTGATTGTGAGTTTACAACTTTTGACTCGTGCGGTTCGAACCTCGCCGCCACTCAAAATCGAGTCAGGTTCGCTTCGGGTTCACTTGCTACACTCGCCTCAAAAACATAAACTTAAGGTTAAAATTAGATTCACACACGCCCTAAGTATTCCACTCGTTTTCCACTCGTTTCCCCCTGCTTCCTTTTTATTTCTTCTCCCGATTCTTCTCAAACTCCTTGCTGCCATAGTTTTCGCCGTTCCGCACCGTTCATAGGTTGTAGGTTAGCTTCGTTAGGTCAGCGACGGCACCGTTCGCTATGAGTTGTGCCTCGTTAGGAGAATTCTCAAAAACCAACTCGTAGGTTACCTTCGTTAGGTCAGTCAGCGACGGCACCGTTCACTGCGTGGCAGCCGCCGTTCGGCACTCCGCGTATCAGCCGCCGTTCGGCGCTCGCGTGGCAGCCGCAAACCACCTCAACACATCCTCCCTTTCCATACATCTCAACAACCCACCTGCCTTCTAGCCCGGCCCCTGCAGGCGGGCGGAGAACTCCAAGGTCTCACGGACAGTCAGTCATCTCCCTTGTGAGCCCATTTACCTTTTGAGACGCCTCAGAACGCACCTGCCTTGTAGCCCGGCCCCTGCAGGCGGGCGGAGAACTCCAAGGTCTCACGGACAGTCAGTCATCTCCCTTGTGAGCCCATTTACCTTTTGAGACGCCTCAGACCGCACCTGCCTTGTAGCCCGGCCCCTGCAGGCGGGCGGAGAACTCCAAGGTCTCACGGACAGTCAGTCATCTCCCTTGTGAGCCCATTTACCTTTTGAGACGCCTCAGAACGCACCTGCCTTGTAGCCCGGCCCCTGCAGGCGGGCGGAGAACTCCAAGGTCTCACGGACAGTCAGTCATCTCCCTTGTGAGCCCATTTACCTTTTGAGACGCCTCAGAACGCACCTGCCTTGTAGCCCGGCCCCTGCAGGCGGGCGGAGAACTCCAAGGTCTCACGGACAGTCAGTCATCTCCCTTGTGAGCCCATTTACCTTTTGAGACGCCTCAGAACGCACCTGCCTTGTAGCCCGGCCCCTGCAAGCGAGCGGAGAACTCCAAGGTCTCACGGACAGTCAGTCATCTCCCTTGTGAGCCCATTTACCTTTTGAGACGCCTCAGAACGCACCTGCCTTGTAGCCCGGCCCCTGCAGGCGGGCGGAGAACTCCAAGGTCTCACGGACAGTCAGTCATCTCCCTTGTGAGCCCATTTACCTTTTGAGACGCCTCAGAACGCACCTGCCTTGTAGCCCGGCCCCTGCAGGCGGGCGGAGAACTCCAAGGTCTCACGGACAGTCAGTCATCTCCCTTGTGAGCCCATTTACCTTTTGAGACGCCTCAGAACGCACCTGCCTTGTAGCCCGGCCCCTGCAGGCGGGCGGAGAACTCCAAGGTCTCACGGACAGTCAGTCATCTCCCTTGTGAGCCCATTTACCTTTTGAGACGCCTCAGAACGCACCTGCCTTGTAGCCCGGCCCCTGCAGGCGGGCGGAGAACTCGAGGGTCTCGCGGACAGTCAGTCATCTCCCTTGTGAGCCCATTTACCTTTTGAGACGCCTCAGAACGCACCTGCCTTGTAGCCCGGCCCCTGCAGGCGGGCGGAGAACTCCAAGGTCTCACGGACAGTCAGTCATCTCCCTTGTGAGCCCATTTACCTTTTGAGACGCCTCAGAACGCACCTGCCTTGTAGCCCGGCCCCTGCAGGCGGGCGGAGAACTCCAAGGTCTCACGGACAGTCAGTCATCTCCCTTGTGAGCCCATTTACCTTTTGAGACGCCTCAGAACGCACCTGCCTTGTAGCCCGGCCCCTGCAAGCGAGCGGAGAACTCCAAGGTCTCACGGACAGTCAGTCATCTCCCTTGTGAGCCCATTTACCTTTTGAGACGCCTCAGAACGCACCTGCCTTGTAGCCCGGCCCCTGCAGGCGGGCGGAGAACTCGAGGGTCTCGCGGACAGTCATCTCGCCGATGTGGGAGTCTGTCTGAGGCACAAACGCCACGGTCCGCGGCAGCACAAAGTGGCTGCCCGGGCGGCCGTTGTACGTGACCTCGCCCTGCACGCGCAGCTCCCTCTCCGCCTTCCCTGCCAGGATCTTCAGCAGCGTTGACTTGCCGCTGCCTGGCGGCCCCAGCAGCAGCGTCATCCTGCGTGTTGGGAAGAGCATGTGGCGTGTGGTGTGGAGTAGAAAAAGGCTGCTGATTAGGTGCTGATCAGGATTGGCCAGCACAAAGTGGATCTTCAGCAGCGTTGACTTGCCGCTGCCTGGCGGCCCCAGCAGCAGCGTCATCCTGAGAATCAGGAAAGAAAAAAAAAAAAAAAAAAAAAAAAAAAAGGTAGATTTGGTGCTGTTCACTGCAGGCTTTCAAAGGTTTCTTACTTCTCGTTTCAAGGGGTTTGGAAACATGGCCATCGCTTTCACAACTCAACCCTCTCAGTGCGTCAAATGATATCGCTCAGAGATCACCTGCTAGGCATTAAATCCCCATTTTCCACCAGATTTTAAGGGCGACGGATCTCCATGGTCAAAGACGCATATCAAATTAGTCACCTGCCAGGCTTGAGAATGCCAGAGCAGCCGTCGAGGTGCGTAAAACAGGCGGCGGTGGTCTTTGACCAGCCCGATTTCCCTCAGCACCGCTCCTGCTTGGTGCTGTGCTTACCATATTCACAGACGCAGTACTGCCGCCTCTGCTTGGTGCCGTACCTAGTAGCGGCTACCAGGTGGGCCTTGTACCTGCCAGGTTTGAGAATGCCAGAGCAGCCGTCGAGGGCGTAAAACAGGCGGCGATGGTCTTTGACCAGCCCGATTTCCCTCAGCACCGCTCCTGCTTGGTTGGCCAACAGGTTGGGCAGCATGGGGAGGCCCCTCTTCCCCACCCGCACCTTGGCGGACGCGCTTACCCCCTCAAAGCGCACCTCCACTCCGGGGAACGAGAGGCCCACGTTGGATTGAGGGATGGGGGGAAATGGGTAGGAAGATCATGGGAGGGGTGATTGTGAGTCCCCGTGCCCCTACTTGCACCTTGGCGGACGCGACGCGCTCACTCCCTCAAAGCGCGCGCACCTCTACTCTGGGGAACGACACTCCCACGCTGTGATGAATGGGGGAGATGGGTAGAAGATGGGAGGAATGTAAGGGGTGACTTTTGAGGCGCCTCAAAAGTCGCTGTGATGGATGGGGGATGTGGGTAGAAGATGGGAGGAATGTAAGGGGTGATCGCGAGGCCCCTCGCGAGGCCCCTCACTCACCCCCACTTGCACCTTGGCGGACGCGACGCGCTCACCTCCTCAAAGCGCGCCTCCACTCCGGGGAGGGGAACGAACGACACTCCTACCCTGCGGGGGAATGCGGAGCATTGGGAAGAGAGATGGGGGAAACAGAAGGGGTGAATGGAGGAGAGGCCCCTCGCCCCCCACTTGCGCACGCGATCACCCCCTCAATGCGCACCTCCACTCGGCGCAACGAGACGCCCACGCTGTGAGGTATGAGGGGGAATGCGGGGGATCGGATGAGTGGGGAAGGGGTAAGTTGGCAGGAACTTCTCGTTGCGCAGCCGCTCTGCAATCATAGTATGAGAGAATATAGCACGTGGTTACGTCGTAGTAACACCGCCTGTCCAGTCGCCGCCGCATCTTCGCGAGGAACTTCTCGTTGTCCAGCTCGCTGGGTACTACAGGCGTATTTTAAGTGAATAATATATAATGCTATGTGATCGGAGAGTAACACCTGTCCAGTCGTCGCCGCATCTTCTCGAGAAACTTCTCGTTGTCCAGCTCACCGCGAGAGAAAGGGAGAGAACGTCACGTCACTCGTCAGAGCTTCACCTGTCCAAAGTATCACGTCCAAGTATAGCCTGTCCACATTCACACCTGTCCAGTCGCCGCCGCATCTTCTCGAGGAACTTCTCGTTGTCCAGCTCGCCGCCCTCCATCGCCTGCTCCACCAATCGCAGCCACGCCACGTGCGGCTTCTCGCCGTCCGCCGCCTCCCCCCCTTGCACTGCCGCGCTCGCCACCCTTTCCGCGTTTCTAGTAGCTTCTCCCTCCGTAGTACTAGCCTTCCCCTCCGGCGCGGCGCCATGGTAATCCAAACCTGTCGTTGGAGTTGGCTTTTCGGTGTCGTCATCCCGCACGGAACCATCTCTGCCGCCTTGGGATCCGAAGGACTCTGGCTTCAGTGCGTCCGCCTTCTGCGCGTCCCGCCTCAGCTGTCCTTCCCCCATCTCCCCGTGCGACGCGGGGTAAACTCAAGACCTGAATCAACGCGGATAACTAAGCCAGGAGGTTCGGAGTCAGATGATGCTCTCTAGAAGCCCGTAAGCCAGTCCACAGTTGCCACTTTACTTGAGAGACTGGCTTGTTTGTTTGGCTTGTTAACTGCTACTGCTATTATTTAACTTGAGAAAAGTGTATGCACCTGGCATGCACCTGAATAGCGTTCCTATAGGCTAAGTCGCATCCGTACGAAAATGGCCGACGTTCATTGGACGAAGGAACAACGCTCATTTGAAATTGATTGGCCGCAAGCAGGGCAAATCTTTCGTTTTTGAAGGCACGGAAGGCTCCGGGTTCGCCTGAGAAAAGACCCTGAAGAACCAGTATTCCCTCGAAAGTTTTCCTTCCGCGTCCGTGTGTTTTTCCGAAAATCCGAAAATGCACTGGAGCAGTTCTATCACCCTAGGCGCAAGTGGCTCTAAAACGTCTAAGTTGGGTGCGCAAGGACCAACAGCCCTGAGATTTACATCATGTCTGACAGCACTTATGGGCATCGTTGCATTCGACATCCTACACAAGAACTGGTACCGAACTGGTACCGAGCTAAAATATCAGGATTGTTCTCGAAACAATACTGAAGTCCCCGATCGCTTAGCCAAATCATCCGGAAATGGTCCGGATGATTTCAAAAACGATTCTGATGAATCAGGGTTAGCCGGGAAAACATACGGAATGTACCTGAGTTTCAGAGTGTTTACCCGGATACCGAGAGCCCTGGCCGCAAGAGCTCCGTGACAAACAAGGGACTGGGCACTGTGTGTCTTGGTGGCTGCCGTGCCGAGCCGTCTGCTTCCCGTGTCGGGCTCAGCTCGGGCTTCTGGGTGAGCAGCGTTCGCTCACACACACAGAATTATCACATGTTCTAGAGGTGGTTGGGCTTGGGTTGGTTTGGGTTGGGTTAGGCTGGGTTGGGCTGGTTTGGGTCCACTAGACCGTTCATCCACCACACGTGAGCGTGAACCAGAAACATACAGGTAGCAGCAGGGACTCCTCCCCCATCCCATCCCAACCACAAGCTGGCGCGGCGCGGAGCAGTCGAGTCGCAACATTGGAGAATTATACAAGAAGTCACAATTTTTCCCTTTTTATTACGTTTGGTCACAGGGGTATCATAGACAGTCACAGTACAGTAGATTTCTATCGCGGGTGATCACAGTGCTATCACGGATGATCACACGTCGCCCCGAAAAGCTATCACGTTTGGTCACTCGATGAAACGTTCATACTTAATTTGAAACCACAAAAGAAACTGTAGATATTTTGGGGAATCCCAATTTTTATTGCTTATTACCCCGCGCATGATTCTAGCCTGACATTTAGGGGACTGACAAAAACATAAACCCCTATAGGATTGCACGTCCTTCGGGAGGCATCAACCCTAAACACCATCCGGCTTGGTGTTTAGGGTTGATGCATCCCGAATTAGATCCCATCCGAATGGGTTTTAGTTTTTTTGTCTTGGGTACAGAAATCGAGCGTCGAGTTTTACCCGTCTAAAAGTGATATTCTTAGGGTCATTATGCATCAACCGAACACTGGACAATCGAAAAGTTAACATGAATTGCAGAGTTTTTATACGAGTTACCGAGACTTGTCGCGAAACAATTTCGTCATACTACGGACAAAACCGCGCGCGCAAGAGAACTTTCCTTTTTAGGGTTCGTTTCAGCCAGTGACCAAACGTGATAAGTATGCGGGGCTAGGTGTGACCAAGCGTGATAGCGCTGTGATCACGCGCGATAGCAACGTACTGTACTGTGACTGTCCGTGATACCCCCATGAACAAACATGATAAAACGGGCTTAATTGTGACTGGGCGTATAATTTCCCCGCAACATTTCATGGCACCTGGGCAGGCACAGGCTGAAGGGGCTCGTCTCAACCACAGGTTGAAACAAGTTGACCAACCAGAAGAATCTTTTTTCGTTTTCATGGAGAGTGAGGTTCAGGGATCATCTCTGTTCGCCCCACGCTGCCCGTTTGCAAAAGAGCCAGGTGCGGCCACTACAGTACTATCGCGGGGCGTTTTCCGGTTTGTGGTACAGTACAAGGTTAAAAATGCACAAACCCCAGCCACATACATTTTAATGTGCATTCAGCAGCTACCAAAACAAAAGTGCATCATCCATAAGTACATTCAAATGAGTTACAGGTCTGAACAGTCAGTGCTCACTTCGTTTGCGACCACCTTTAAGCCAGCCACAGCAACATTGCGCGAGTAACACCCTACACTTTTATCATTACTTGCGAAGGCGAAATGCTGTTCGACCAATTGCGAAGCTCGCTTCCGCTCCTGCTGCTGTCCCCATTGCTCCCACTCCCCACCCCCGCTCCCACTCCCACTCCCACTCCCACTCCCACCCCCCACCCCACCCCCACCCCCACTCCCACTCTCACCCGAACCCCCACCCCCACCCCCATCCCTATCAACCCACCTTTCAGAACTCCCGGTTTCATTTCGACAGGCACCATCTCGCGTCACGTTACAGCTGGTAACATTCGTAACCGGTCCCGTACCATTCATAACCGGTCCCGTAACATTTGTACCACCTGGCGCATAATTGGACCCGGTGTCGCGATCAGCCCTCGTGTCATTTGAGCTACTGAACGAGCCCTCGCCGACCCTAGCAAGCTGAATGCTGCTGCTGCTGCTGCCACCACTACCAGTGCTGCTATTGCTGCTGGCACTGCTATTCCTGCTGCAGTCAATATCACCGGCACCACCACTGCAGGAAGAGCAGTACTCAATATAAGATCCAAACCGTTGATTTAAAAGGGTCTCGGAGATCGGACGGCCAACCTTCCTCCCAGACTTGTCCCTCTGTAGGTTGAATGCATAGTCTGTGTCTAGCTTGAATGAGCCGTTGGCTGGTGGAGAGCGAGGGGACGAGAGGGAGGAGGGAAAAGAGGAGAGAAAAAGAGAGACGGAATGAGGGAGGGAAGGAGCAGAGTCACTGAATGCATAGCCTGTGTCTAGCTTGAAAGAGCCGTTGGCTGGTGGTGGTTGAGGGGAGGAGAGGAGTGATCAAGAGAGAAGGGAAGATGGAAACAAAGGAGCACAGTGAGTGGATGCACAGTCTGTGTCAAGCATGAAAGAGCTGTTAGCTGGTGGTGGCGATCGAGGGGAAGAGACGAGTGGTAAGGGGGAAGGGACGAAGGAATAGAAGGAGAAGAGTGAGTGAATGCATAGCTAGTGTCAAAATTGACCGACAGGGAACAAGTACTGCTCAGTGAATGAACTCAGCTCATTCCCCATCCCAGCCTGTAACACACTAGAGCAGCTCTTTGAGACATCTCAAGCCTAAACCGTACCATCGAGAGACGTCATCTTGAGGTTGACAGGGAACAAGAACTGCTCAGTGACTGAACTCAGCTCATTCCCCTTGGCATCCTTGCTCGTAACCTCCACTGAAGTTCTTGTTACATGAGACCATGCCACCAGCCCTTCCCTCCGGAAATACACCGACGCTTCCGCTCCCAGGCTTCCCGTAACCTCGGTGGTAACCGCGCCGGCCGAGGAGTATACAGTGCCGGTGATTGTATAGGAGCGGAGCGTGCTTGTAGTGAATCCAATGCTTGTGGAAGCAGGGTCGAGAGGTGCTGGTTCGGCAGCAGTGCCGGTGCTACTGCTACTGTTGCCGTTGTTGTTGCTACTGCTGCCGAAGCTGTTATTGGCCAATGCATTCGAGAGATCAGAAGCGGGAGGGGTGATGAAAGTGTTTATGATGGAGGGCACAGGAGCCTGGGGCAAGGAAGAGCAGGGAGGGCAGGCAGGCAGGGCGGAGCAGGGAATGCAGGGGAGTCAACTTTTAAGGCGCCTCAAAAGGATAAAAGTGTTTATGATGGAAGGCACAGGAGCCTGGCGCAAAGAAGCGCAAGGCAGGCAGGCAGGCAGGCAGGCAGGCAGGCAGGCAGGCACGCACGGGGAAGCAGGGCGAAACAGAGCAGGCGCGCACGGGGGAGCAGGGCGAAACAGAGCACAGAGGTGACTTTTGAGTCAACTCAACAGAGCAGGAACAGTGGAGCAGGAACAGTGGAGCAGGAACAGTGGAGCAGGAGAGAAGGGGCCGGTTAATGGGGCAGGTGGGGAAGGAGGAGAGGGGGCGGTTAGTGGGGAGAAAATTATGGATTGCAATAAGAGGAAAAGAACGGAGAGAGAGGGGCGACAGGGAGGGGGAAAAGCAGAGCAAACCAGATGCTTTGTCAACGGGAAAGGGGATGAAAGCAAATTGAGCTGGTTCGTGGTGGCGCATGTAACCATCCTGTCTGCTGTCTGTAACCATCCCGCTCACCACTCTCTTTCACAAAGAAAAAGGAATGAAAGATTTTATCCAGAAGTGGAGAGAATGGAATCTGCTCACATTGATAAATGGCTGCATGCCTGAAGTGGCCTCTTGAACCGGGTCAATCCAGAGCTAGAGAACACCTGAAACCCTAAAAACATATGCGTGAAAGATTTATCAAGAATTGCTCACATTGATGAATGGCTGCGTGCCTGAAGTGGCCTCCCGAACTGGGTCCACCCAGAGCTGGAGAACCCCTGAAACCATCCACCGGGCAGCCCGGCCGACCGCGGGCATGCTGACCGAAATTTCGTGCGGCTGCCCGTCCACTAGCAGGCCGACAAATGGCGTGATGTCGAGGGAGTAAGTGGGGTTGCTGAAGCAGCCGATTCCGACAAGGGGGGCCCAGAGAAGCGGAGCAAAGGCGGAGGGGTAGAGGGTGGGGAAGGGGAAAACAGCTCCTGCGAATTGGTTGTCGATGAATAGGAGGAGCTCTCGGAAGGGAGAGGGGGAGGAGGAGGAGGAAGGGGAATAGGATGAAGACGAGGAGGACGAGGAGGAGGATGCAGTGGACGAGGTTGAGGTAGAGTTGGGCGAAAGCATGAAGAAGAATTCGTCACTGCCGTGCCTGGTTACCATCAGCTCGAATTTCGCCGTCACAATGTCAAGGGGCAGCAAGGGAAACGTCACAGAAGCTTCCAGTGAAGGAGAGGAGGGAGAGGAAGAAGAAGAGGAAGAGGAGGTGGATGCGGAATCTTCGCCCGTGATTGTGAAGGGCACTGGGTAGGGTTTGCCGAGTGCTTGAGAGGAGAAGGGGAGAACTACGTCGGGAACAATGGCTCGGTTGAATCGAGAGGTCTTGAAGTAGAGGAGATCGATGCTCACGTAGAAAACACCTGCACCAGATACGGACAAAATCGGGTTGGGTGCAATGTGAATCTGGCCTCAACAAACCATCAGCCCATGCTGAAACAAAAAAATAATAGGGTTACAAGGGATGATTGTATTTGCGAAACGAATGCCTAAAGTGGTTACCTGTTAGTGTGTCGTTGATCACATTGGGAAGCGAGACGAATGCTTGCTTCTCCTGTAGATGAAACAAATGCAAGATCCGGGCAGAAGTGAATGATGAGGCATTGAGTGAACTGGAGGAAGACTGAATAAAGTTTGGAATTTAATGGAAGGGAAAGCTGAGCATACGAATTACCTTCGCAAGCGCGGATGCGAACTTAGTTATGTCTTCTTCAAACGAGTAGGACGCCGACACACCCAAAGGCTCCACAGTACTGCGTTAAACGGGGAGAGAGAGGAGATAGGTGGAAGGTAGATGGCGTCAAAACGCATGCCACACATAACCAGAAAAAAATAAGGAGAAAAAAAACATTGAAGTTTAAGGGGAAAAAAAAAAAAAATGCATGGATTAAGGGGTACACTGTTTTGCTGCACGAGCAGCTCACATGGATCTGGAGACCTCGAAGTTGCCGATGAACACGGACAGCACCCGGTCGAATTGCACCCCGCTCACTTTCACGCGCACGCTCAGCAGCACCAGCGACCACGCCTGGCGGAAACGCAGCCAATCAGAGAAGCACATCCGGGGAACACCGAAAGGGGGGGGGGGTGTCCCGAGGCAGGGGAATCCGGAATATGAAAGTATACGATTGGAAAGATAGTGTAGACTGATATATTAAACTCTGACGAGTGGAGCATACGCTACAGGATGGAAAGTGATAAACCACGTTTTACTCGCTTGCGACCACGCGGGGACTCGGCGGGCCCAGCAACTAGGTACAGAAGGCCGGGAGCGGGAAGCGGGGCGCGGGGCGCGGGGGTCCGGATCAAGGGGAGAGGGCAGACAGTGGGGTGGGGTGGGACCGGAAAGCGTGAAGTGGATGTTTGGGGGAAGGAGGGGGGAGGTGTAAGAGACAGCGAGTTTGAGGGTTGGGCAGGGGGGAAAGGAGTTAGGGATGCGGAGATGGACAGAAAGAGAGGGTGGAGAACAGAGAGAGAAAGCGGAGATCTTGGTATCATGCTGGGAGAACGAAATAGGTAAATTATGACGGACGTACGGAGCCGCACGAAGCAGGGATGGAGTAGTTTTTCGCGACGGGTGGGTCGCCAACGGTGTCGTCGAACGATTGGTTGCGAAGCAGCGTAACGACGCACGGTTTCACCCCGCGAGGCCTTGCGATTGGCCGAGCGACCTCGAAGACCTCCACGTCATCGTCACTGGTGTCGCCGTTACCGCTACCGCCGCTAGCACCAGAATCGCCCGAGTCGCTCAACGACTGAATCTTCCCTTCACTTCCCGTTTCGCCAGTTTTCGCAGGCTGTGAGTTCGTTCCAGATGGTAGTTTCAGCGAAATCGGGTAATTTCCCTCAGCTGGTCGTGGCGGCTCTAAGCTGTCCGGGCCTCGCTGAAGCGGGCGAAAGTTGGCGAGGCCTTGCACGAGGGTTTGCGACGGTAACAACAGTGTATCATCGTCGTCGTCGTCATCGTCTACGTCTTGCGAATCCGCTTTGTAACCACTATCTACAGTAGGGGTGTCTGGTGGAGGGTCGGGCTTCGCACGGGCGGGAGGTCTCCACGGGAACAGGCGGAATCCGCGCGCAGGGTAGGGGAAAACAGCGAGAAGGAGTGAGAGTAGAGCGAGTAGAACTAGCGTGCGACGCGCCATGCTTTTCCACCACTTGAAGTATGATTATCTGTTCACGTACACAAACAGCGGGAGGGACTAACCCGTCTAGGAAGGGACGACTTCAAGGTAAGGACAGGTCCCTGGTGGATCTAAACATAACCGTTCCCGCCTAATCTCGACTCTACGATTGCTCCTGCTGCTGCTGCTGCTGCTGCTGCTGCAGTTGCTGTTGCTGCGAGGATAACGAAATTATGCTGCGAAACTAACAGAGCGTGTTCCGTGGCTTCACGAACGTTAACATGCGGTTTGCTAGGTCATGGCGTTAGGTGCGTAAACCACTATTAGGTCAAGAGACATGACGGTCCTGTGGTCGCCAGCAATCGGCATTCGTTGTGGGCCCTGCAGGAACCATGGGTAATAGGTGCGTTGCAAGCGCGTCTTGGAAAGGTAATTCAGAGGTACAGCGCGGAAGGGGAGAAAGCCAGCTTTCAGCACCAATTGGAGAATTTGTCGGCTGTTTCTGTCAGAACCTGTTCATTGTCGACGCGATTCGAGGGAGTTAGTGTGCTGGACTTGTCTGTTGCCGTGCTGTCATGCTGTTAGGAGCGAATCCATCCAACCAAACCAAACCAAAACCAAACGAAAGTGCTCAGCATGCTGTCAGAGACACAAATCAGACACCGCGATAGAAATGTATGTAACCTTGAGGAAGCGTAATCAATCACACTGAACCTACGACGGACGTTGTCGGACGGGGTTGACTTTTCCCACTTGAAAGATGTGAGATGAGATTGGGAGGGAGGAAACGAAAACGGGAGAAGACAGGTGATGCTCTTTCTGGCGGTAGGGACGGTCAGAACAAAATTTCGCGGATCAGAAATTGAACTAGAACATAACACCCACCGACAGCATTGAAACTCGGCGGGTTGGGTTTCGGTAATGTCGTCTACACGTATTTTGCTTAGGCAACTCTACGCGAAGAAGGATATTTGGGTGGTTTCAGTCACCCCACAGGAAATTTGTGAAGAGGATAGGTGGACCTCAGTTTCACATCACACCATTTTTTGCGGAAGGCCAGGGCAGGAAACCACTGTCAGCGGGGAGGCGCACCTGGTACAGTGTGCAGCAGAACCACCACCGACCAACATGGACCTACTTAGTACGACTGCCTGATGCTTATGTACATTTCTTATAGTGTACTTTCTGCGTTAAAAAAAAGGACCTACTTAGTTCAGTAACGTATACCGTAGGAAGCCTTGAATCAGTTAGGCCCCCTGCCACATGCACTTCCAACCTAACTGTTTTATATTAAATTACTTGATTATGTGATGTATAGTTCTGAAAGCTTGTTATAACACTCAGGATATATTGGTGCCATGCTATGCATCTCATGATATATTCCTGTTTGTTTGTATATGTTGAACAAGGAGAGAAAAAACTTACTGTATTTTCTTGGATTGTAGACTCGTGGTGGCGTGGATTTAACATCGTTATCCTCCCAAAGTTGGGGGGAGAGGGGGGAGGGAGAGGGGAGGGGGGGATGTTACGATACAGAATTGTTGAATAATATTTATGGAGTAACGCACTCGTAATGCGAAGATGACTGCAGCGAGGACGAAGACCGAGCGACACAAGCGGTTATCGAAAATGGTTGCAAGTAGGAAGAATTCGAAGTGAAAAGCACATGAAATCTTTCAAACAGTTACCGTAGCACATACCGTTGCCGAAGTGCACAGTTGTTTTACTGATCTAGATTAGCACTAAGGAGAATGTATCGCCTTAGAGTACAAGGCTAGCTATGACTTTTCATATTCCACTGTATTCCTACATAAACCCTAATACACAAGGCTTCAGAAGTCAGGAATTTTACACTGAATTCCTGAAGTTTGACCCTCGTTTTTATCATGACCCTGATGCATCAGCCTTTTTTTTTTAAACGACCCTGATGTTTCAGAGTTTTTTTAATTTCGAACACTGATTTTTCAGTGTTTTGTGTTCGAGGACACAGACGAGTTAGTGTTGTATTGGGGTCTACCCTGAAACCGGAAACTCTGATTCTCGCATTTTGGCGCGCCGTCATCATACAGGTACCTACCCTACGCCACCCTGCGGCTCGACCTGATTCAGCCGAACTGGCTCTTGTTTCCCAGTTAAACCTATGCCACCCTGCGCCTCGGACTGTATTTGCTGTTATACTGGCCGAATTTGGGCATTGCAAAGTATGCGCAGTCTGATTCGCTGTGTTACGACAACATACTGGTATAAGCAACTTTTGCTGATCAGTGTTGAAACTTTAGAAACCCTGATTGATCAGCGTTTTGTAGTCCACTGGTGATCTCCGATTGATCCTAGGGAAGGGTTACAGGCACGTTGGCCTGGGGGGGTTATGGGCGCACTCACCCGCTACACAAACAAGCCCTTCTATCCCAGTGGTTAGTGGCTGAGATTCTGACATGGTATCAGAGCGAAGGTCTCGGGTTCGAATCCCGGTGTGTGCACCTCGGGCATCCCAGTGCGGGGGGGTGTCAGAGGTCCACTGGTGATCCCCGATTGATCCTAGGGAAGGGTTACAGACACGTTGGCCTAGGGGGGGTTATTGGTACACTCACCCGCTACACAAACAAGCTCTTTTATCCCAGTGGTAAGTGGCTGGGATTCTGACACGTTTTATTTCTAACAACCCTGTAAAATTAGTGCTTCACACAAGTCGACACTGAAAATCAGTGTTACCCTCCTAGGGACATCGAGTGCTTAGGGTACCTAAAAACCAATTTGAGGCCCTGCTAGTACCGCATTGTATTAGTCACTTCTGTCGAGATTCAAATCTCCTTCTTCTGACAGGGTCCGTACCCGAGAATCACTAGCAAACCTTCCGCTGCTACACTACGTGCGATCAACCTGAGACAATCATATAAAGGCATTTTCACATTGTAACAGCAGGGGATCAATCTCATATTCATTATACCGTATGGCCCCGGATATAGGCGCCGTCCGATTAAAGGCGCCGGCGCTTCTATCTGGAGCATGGCGCTTATGGCCGGAACTCGATTATAAGCGCCCCCCTTGTAAACCCCTGATTTATTATAAGCGCATGCATATTTTTTTTTTTCAATCTTGATTAAAACAGTAACGAATCTCAACTTCCAAGCGAGTCAGCACCCATTTTCACCTTGTTTGACTTTCGAGGTCCTGACTGGTTGCGCATCCAGTCAAGATGAGGTGGCACACGGGCAAATTGACGTGCCAAATGCTCTGTTCAGCGTCAAAGAATCGCCCTCGCGCGATTCTGATTCAGGACGCTGTAAAATTTCGACTCGATTGAACTTACGAGACAGAAATGTACATTTTGGTGCGTTTAGTTTATAATTCTATATTTGCCATGATATAAGCGCCGGCGCTTATGGCCGTGATTCAATTACAAGCGCCACCTCTAATAAAAACCGATTTTATTATAAGCACAGATGTGCCTATATCCGGGGTAATACGGTATTAGACACGGAACATGATGTTTTTTGGTTCCTTGTGTTCGTTGTAATATGTCTGCTGTTTAGAACCCAATTCGCAACAAATATTATAAGAAGATGCACTATGTCAAATTATATATGTGATATATATGTGTAGGCTGTAGTGGGGTAGCCAATATGGGGTACAGCCCCCATTAGGGTTTCATATTTGTACCCAGTTTCCTTTCAATGCATTCATTCTTGCCTAGTGATTCTGACATGGTATTCAGAGCAGGAGGTCCCTAGGACCTCAGGATCGATTTTTTTTAGGGCCCACCACCTACTGCCTGCAGTTACCGTGCTACCCGACGCCCTGCCTGAGCCTGCCTGCCTTGCCTGCCTATCGCGCTGCCCTGCAGCCCCGCGAGCCGCCTGTCGCGCTGCCCTGCAGCCCCGCGCGCGCCCTGCCCTTGCCCGTCGCGCTGCCCCGCAGCCCCGTGCGCCACCCGTTCCGCTGCCCCGCAGCCCCGCGCGCGCCTTGCCAGCTCGTCGCATTGCCCCGCAGCCCCGCGCGCCGCCCGTCCTGCTGCCCCGCAGCCCCGCGCGCGCCCTGCCAGCCCGTTGCGCTGCCCCGCAGCCCCGCGCGCCGCCCGTCCCGTTGCCCCGCAGCCTCGCGCGCGCCTTTTTAGCCCGTCGCGCTGCCCCGCAGCCCCGCGCGCCGCCCGTCGCGCTGCCTGTTGCGCTGCCCGTTGCGGTGCCCCGCAGCCCCGCGCGCCGCCAGCATTGCCCCACCCTAGTGCCGCGGCCGCCTGCCCCACCCGTGCGCTGCTAGCGCATTGCCCCACCCACGCGCACCTTACGGCTGCTTTGCGCGCCGCCCTTGGCTGCTGCCCTTGCCTGCTGTCTGTGCCTGCTGCCTCTGTCTACTGCCTTTGCCTGCTGCCTTTGCCTGCACTGCGAGCATGGCGACGCTTAATGTTCTCGCGTTTGAGCCTGACGGTCGCCCGATTGAGTTTGCCACTTGGCTCGACGACCTGCAACTGTTTCTTATGACTGATGCAAAAGACGGTGTCTCACTGTTCGATCACGCGTCTGGCACTGCCGTTGCTCCTGCTGACACTGCTCCCGCTCTTGACCGCTCACAGTGGCAGACTCGCGATGCTGCTGCACGCCACGCTATTCGCAACCATTTGCCGATCACTGAGCGCGCGCATTTTAGCCAGCACAAGACTGCTAAGGCCTTGTATGACGCTGTAGTTGCGCGCTATTCGTCCCCAGCCACTGCAGCTGTCGGTCGTCTCATCCTGCCCTACCTGTTCCCAGACCTGTCCTCGTTTGCCACCGCCGAGGACCTTATCACTCACCTCCGCACTAGTGACGCCCGCTTTCGTGCCGCCCTCCCAGACGATTTTCTCGCCCAGACCCCCCCCCCCCGCTGTACTTTACCCTCTACATCCTCGTCACCCGCCTCCTTGACACTCTCAGTTTAGTCAGGGACCACTTTCTAGCCAAGGACCCTGCCACTCTCACTCTAGCCGACTTCGAGCAGCAGCTCCTAGCAGCAGAAAAGAACATCCTCGCTGTAGGTGCTGCTCGTGGCACTCCTCGCACTCCCCTCTTTGAGGGGTGCTCCCCCTCCCCCCTTGCCCCCTCCTACGCCTCTGCTGCTGCTGCCGTCGACCTCCTCGGTGCTGAGAAGGTCGCAGCTGCTTCCGCTCCTAGTGGGAGGCGCAACGGCAAGGGCGGCAAGGGTGGCAAGGGTGGTGGAGGTGGAGGTGGAGGGGGCGGTGGTGGAGGAGGTGGGGGTGGTGGAGGTGGTGGGGGTGGTCGTGGGGGTGGAGGAGGTGGGTGGGGCGGC